TTTAAAGTATTAGTTCAGGAAATAGTTTCTTATGTTCAGCTTTACCAGACTTAATTGTCAGCAGAAAACTCCAAATGAAAACAAAAATTGCTTAATGTTTAATTATCATCAAATTACACAATAAAAGACAGATCCAACACATATAGATAGGGCTAGTCTGCAGTATGTTGAATTTAAAAGACAAAGAACACCACCAGTAACGTAATTAAAATTAGTTTTAGAAAAATAAGTTATCACATTCAATTCATACAAAAATGTCAAATCTCATGGATCTTCTGGAATGTTCTACCCATGAAACAATGCACATGTGTAATATTTGCCACAACCTTTTTAAAATGGAAATCAACCAATCTTAATTAACTTCTTAACGTCAAACGTTGAAAAAAGGATGAAGCTTATGATTTTCGCAAAATATCTACCTTATCATAACATTACAGATGTGAATTAAAAGATTTAGTTCAGCAAAGCCGTTGAAACAAAGTTATAAACATCACTGGACTCGTCAGAGACAAACTTGAGTGAATTGTTGTGGCCTGGGCTGTAAGACCTGGAATGACTTTGTCTTTTCTCTCCTAAGTCGGAGGAAATCTAATTCTTTAGTTTGAAAGTAGACATTTGACTGTGTTAATACTCATCACCACATTGGAACCACAAGAAAAGGAACTAATAAGTTTGACCCTATATTTACCATCACAAATAATCAGAATAAGGATGACTCTGAGTATATTTTGTGGCTATATTGTGTGCAATGTGTTTCATAATTATTATGTCATCTTCACCAACAGCATTCTGACTTCAAAATCAGTTGTGACACATCCAAATTAAATTATCAATAATTTTTGGTAGCTTTCATAGAAACTAATCTACCCACTGCATAGAAACAGTTTCAATAATAATTAAATCAATTCATAGAAACTGCTTCAATAATGGATCCACTTCAAAGAAACAGCTTCAATAATAACTTAACCACTTCATTGAAACCGCTTCAATAATGGATCCACTTCATGGAAAAGCTTCAATAATACTTGATCTACTTCAAAGAAACAGCTTCAATAATAATTTAACCACTTTATTGAAACTGCTTTAACAATAATTTACCGTCTTCATAGACCGCTTCAATAATAATTTATCCACTTCATAGAAACTTCTTCAATAATAATTTACCCACTCAATAGAAACAACAATAATTTACCCTACCAATAGAACAGTGTTCCCGCTGGCTTTTGAAACTGACAGTCCACCACAACTGGCAACTCTAAAAATGACAGGTCCCCCCTAATTTTTGTCAGTCCCAACTTTCAACAAATGAAAAAACCCATGAAAATCACCTGGTTTTAATTCTTTCCACTCTCTTTTTGTATAATATTTCAAGACTAAATCACTGCAAATATATATTTAACCTTGAAGCAAGCGAAATGCTATTTAATAGCACTAAAAACAGACAAGGGTAACCAAGAAGTCAACTGCAAGTTGACTTTGTTCGAAATACAGTATATACTTATCTGAATATTGTCAATGTTTTGTTCAACAACAAAGATTTATAAGATGCTATATTTGCCGGTCCACAGGGACTGGCAGTAACATGAATTACCGGTCCAAGCCTAATTTTACCGGTAAAAAACTGGTAATTATCGGTAAACGGGAACACTGTAGAAACAACAATAATTTACCAACTCAAAGAAACAGCTACAAGTACAAAAGTTCACATACTTCACAACAATATTTATGTCCCTTAGATAAGCCAAATACATTCGTTTGATTGATATTGGATAAATTCATGTTTCAAAATCTGTGGTCCTGAGTGCTATTGTGGAACATTCTCAACATACCACATCCATCTTCCCACCTCCATCCCCGTGATACTGACTTTGGCCAACATATCTAAAGAGAGTGACAAACTGGAAACTGAATGATCAGCTTAACTAAATTCATCATGGTTCGGATGATTTTTGGAAAACAATCATGGCCACACTATTGATTTTTCTTTGTTGACTTGACTTTCTTTTATGAAAAAAGGACTGATAATGATAGGTTTGAACCAAGAAACTACAGCCATTTCTCTTCCATGTGTCATCAGAGTGGTCACTCCAAGGAGGAAATATATTCAAGCAGATGGTTAATACAACATTTTATCAAATCCTTTTTGATAATAAGGAGTGTCTTATAATAATTATTTCCCCCTACTTTCTACCAACAAGGGTCAACAAGTACAACAACTACAATTCAACAAATATTACTTCAACAGAACAAAGAAAATGAAGAAACATCAGATCATACCAACAGATGGACAGAAATCAATGACAAATTTCAAACAATACTTTAAATAGTGTAAAGAAGAGGGAGTGAAGCTTGGTGTCTAGTTTTTAACACAGCACACACTGGAGAAATAGGATACAAAATCAATGCAAATATTGAATTGCAATGAATCTAAATATCCTTAGTATTGAAAGGGTAATGAATTCAATGTCCACCCAAGTGTACTCCACTCCATATGTTGTAATATCTCATAATTCGCCAAAATAATAGTATTTGACAAACTACCTAAAAATATTTTAACACCCACAAAACAAGAAATTAAAAGTATGTGAGACAACTAGTGATGTATTAATAATTATGTTTTTACATCCAAGAACAGCTAACATACCAAATACCAGAATACCAACTTGAAACAAGAACATGCTAGTATCTCAGACAACAATAAGATTCAGTACCCTCTTATTATTGATACCAACATTTATCTTGAATATTAATTTAATCCACTTAAACGTATATATAAATCTAGAACAAAATACTTATTCTCCATAAGAATGGCATGGAATTCTGCAATCACCATCTTCAAAGTTACCCTTTTCTCATTTCCATTACTCATATGAGACAACATACAGTGGCATAAAACAAACTGAAATTGAAAATTTTGATTGAAAATCTAAATTTGTTATCATGAAATAAGTTTGTCAGAAAGTGTCAGGAAAATACCCTAAGCATGACATAACTGATTGTCCCCTGAGGGAATATCTCTTAATTCAGAGTATGTCTGATTAGCGTGAATATTAATCCTCAAACAAGGTAACAAAGTTTTTTTTCATCCTGTTGAATGACAGTTCAAAGTAGCCTGACATCTGTGGAAGATGTAAGTGAACATGAATATCAGACAAGATGGAGAGGCCAGTGACTCTAGCCCTGATTCAGCAGCCACTGGTCAGATTACATCATCAACAGTATCACTGGGAAGCTGTACAGCTAGGTTACTATCACAGAACAGCACCTGGGTGAAGGTCATTAGCTCAATCCTTTATGCTAAACCCCCAACCTTCGTGGTTATCATTACTTAACTCATCTATAAAATATGTTAGAAATACTTTCGAAACAGACATGCAGTATAAAACAAAATGTGGACGAGGGTAATCCAACATCAAATTAGTACAAGTAACATAAGTAGAGGTTTAAAGAACTAAATTAGCTGTAGTGATGTATTAATAACTGTTACAATAGTTATCAGTGATCACTATTACAAGTTATTAAATAATTACATTACATTACTCAATTAGCCTCTGGCTAAACCTGGGTGCCTTAACTGTTCTTCTGGCATATCATTAATCAAATTACCAGAAGCATTATTGTTTATATATGGAGTCATACTTAGTTGGTTGGGGTTTTTTTATAAGGACCCTCGCATTAAATATTACAGGACCTCTCCAACATTGTCTGAAATCTTGACCCAGAGATGGCAAATATCACAATAATGACAAGAAAAAAGTTACTTCTTACAATATTCAAACAGAAGTATCAACAAGCCACAATCTACTTGCTCATGAACAAATGTATCAATATGAATGATAATCATTACTTAACATGTCATGCATTAACCTGATCTAAGAAACAAAAAGAAAAATGCAATAAATGATTAGATCATAAATTACATTGCAAACATTTTTCTGGGAAATTATCTAATAATTAAATCACTCATAATAGTAAATTAAAGTGTATATAAACAAAATTCATATGATGTGAATACATATTCATTACCTGCCTGACAATATCCCTCTCCTGTTCTACAAAACTCTGTTTACCACTGATTTGAAAAGATGTGATTAAATCTCCTCTGCTAGCCCATCTTTTGCCTCTACTGTCACGTTTACCTGCTCAAGCATGACTGATTGTAATGGTTCAGGCGTGATACCAAACAACTGATACATATACTCTAAACAAGTGTACAGCCCTAATACCAACAAGTTTCCTATAAACATGCCCTAACAATAGAGTCACAGACGACAGCTGAGCTGTCTTTTGTTCTAGTGTAAGTATTGAGGCAAAAGGGGATAGCAATAACACACAACCTCTGAAAGCATTGACTGGTAAATCACATCATCACCTTGCCATACAAAAGGATGTTCCATAAATAACTTTATTGGGTGGCCTTTAAACAGGGAGATATCCTCCTTCCCGTCCGCGACCTAATAAACCTCATCACGTTATTTTCCCCTTCGCTGATATTTGGTCTACCAATTCTTATACAAAGTATGCGAGAAGCTAAACACTACACCGCAATACGATGACATCATCTAGGTTACAGCTGCTGAGGCCAATTCGGATAATTTGCTCTGCGCCCCACTTGCCTTATTCAGTGAAGGCTCCCTCCTCCCTCACCCCTCCGCCGCCGCTATCCCACATCACCGATATTGTCTGTGGAGACAGACTTCGAAACTTTTGAAACTTCCCGCACTAAGTCCCAAAAAGTTGTGAGATACCACGAGTAAATGAATTAAATGGTATAGAAAATGTATTTTCGCTTGATTTCGCCCGCTGCAGCATCCTTCGCAGACAAAGAGCGCTGATCTAGAATCGCCATATTGATTATTAACGATATTTTATCAATAGGATCAACGCCATTTAAAGACCCGAAACTCGTGTGCCAGCGATAGGATGGAATCACCAAGTTGACGATAGCTCTACCTATATAAATACCACCAAAAGCATGCTAAAAGTCTTGCAAAACATACCTGTAACTCTTGCAAATCAAAGTTTCGCCAATACTGACACATCGACTGCACATTCGCAGCCATCTTGAACGGGATTATACTCAATCGATTGATCACATGACTGGCTGAGATCGAATATACTCTCCAACCCTTCACGGTGACTTTTATATAGTCACATGATGAAGTTGAGATCGAACTGTGCCCATCAAACGTTATCCAAATAAATATATCCTCCGTGGCCCGGTATATTAGTATATATGTGATGATTCCAACTGTGGTTGGTAGGTCTGTGACGAACGCTTCGCTGTCGTGGTCCGAGAGTATTAATCAATATGGCAGCCACCAGCACCTGGCGCACTTCTTTGAATGTACACCAGTTTTGTAAACAACTGAAAGAAAATAACGCTAAAGATTCACTCAAGAAAATAGCATTCGATGCAAAAGAATTGATAGTCACGACTCACGATGGCGATCTTTATGTGTGGGACGCCTACTCCTCTCACATGGTCTATTTCCGCCTTAAAAATCTGTTACCCGAAGCGAAAGAGAAAGCACATAGATATCAGGTATTCAGGTTGTTTGGAGCTTTCTTGAACTCCACCCGTGTGTCTGTGACAGTGTCAGTTAACTTAGAACATATAGTGAGATCACATCATTCTTAATCCTTGATAATTATACGTTTGTAGCCAACATCTTTGCGGTGAAAACTGTAGCTGTTTCTCTTGAAGACAACACAAGAGTGACAAAATATAGGCTTGGCATTACGCTGTATGCATTTCTGGCCTAAGCCCTGTCGTTAGTGAAGAGGGGGTGAGAACTGTGGAAGTTTATTGATATACATCAGATGTTCATTTTCTGATTTATTTCATACCTGGTACTTAATGACAAGGTTTAGGGAAAGATCTTTATGTTTGACATAAAGTGTAGACTATGTATTATTCTGGGTTAGGAAGTATCAATTTAACAATTACAGTAACTTTCTTGTGTCTCAAAATTGAATTATCTTACTTTGACATTGGGTACTTAAGATTCTTTTTTAATGTCTATTGGGGATATTTAATACACACTCCCATATCAAAGTGGTTCACACTTAAATTACAGAATGTTATATTCTGACACTGCAAGTCCCAGCTAGCATGACTAAGGCCTTCAAAACTTGGTGTACAATCATATGTGATGTAATAATGGATCCTTATGCGATCTAAGATTAAATTGAAAAAAACTGCTAAACTGCTTAGAAATTAAAACTAAAAACGGACAGAGGCTGTAGGTCACTTGGAGCGAAAATTGCATTAAATTTACTTTCAGTGGATTTTCAACATTAGCTAAATGTTGACATCTAATCACTCAACAGACTGCACAGCCTTGTTTATGTTCATTTTCAAGAATAATGGTATAATTGGTTCAAATCGAGTGGGTTTTTCAGCTGATAAGCAGCGTTAAGAAGATTTAAAAAAACAAATATGTTCTTTCTGTGATGTTTAACATATTCATGGATGCATGTCAGAAGTTGGTTTGCAATAATAGATGGTTGATACAGTTAGAGACCATTTTAAGGAAGAATTTTTAAGAACAATTTTTGGTATTGACAAGCAGTAAATGTTCTTTTCTTAACTTAAGGATGGCACTGCACTGTGTAAAGATTGGATGGAAATGAATCTTGGTCTGATCAACTACTCTACATTGAATGAACATATGATTAATTTGTTAGCTGCTGTTTTAATGACCAGTCCAATCAGCCTTACTTACTTTGGGTTATCTGTCTGCACACCAGAACAAGTCAAATAAAATGAAAATGTTGCCTTTTCCTTCCCTTGTTCCACAATGTTCAAGTGTAATTAAAACTGCTCAGTTCTAATCAATCCTGTATGTCACACAGACAACAACGGTGAACTGACAGTTTGACAACTCTTGAGTAGTCATCAATTGCACTCAGACACTACTCATCTGTCCTCACAAGCAATAAGAGATTTATGTTTATACTAATGAGTAGCATCAATTGAAAGAATATCTGTTAAGATTTAAAAGAAAAGATACATATTATTGACATTTTTTAATTTCTAAAAATCTTGAGCAAAACTTGACAACGTGTCTCAAGCATCCATGCTTATCAAAGCAGGGAGCATTCATTATTTTGACAAATGAATGCTAGGTTCTAAATTATTTAAGATTAATGTTGGCGGGTCACATTCATATTTGAGACCCAAACATTTGATGACTTCTGTGCACATGTATGTGATTTATGGAAAACCCTATTTTTGACATAAATTTCATCTATTTTGTCAAGCAACAAAGGCTTGCTTGTGAATTATTAACAGCTATTGAAAAAAACAACAACACAGGTGCAAGTTCAGTTACTGTTTTGAAGCATAATCAGGTTTGATTTTAATATACTACAAATCTCCAGTTTTGCTGCATATATCTGCATAAAATATGCATAACTATCAAACACCGTTGCTAGGTGCTGCATCCTGATCAAGCCTGAAGGGCATTTTGAAATAAACACCTGGAAAAAACTAAGCACTGCTACTATTTATCTTCCTATATAAAATAGCCATTTCTGAAAATCCTATCCTGTATCAATATTCTCACGAAACCCATTTGATCTTGTGCACAATTTGACATAAATCCATGGTGAAATACAGAAACCGAAATTGATGATATAATAATGTTTTTGAAGTATGTATCACATCGATGTGTAAGAGTAATCCCTGCCAGGTGACCATGTTTTCACATCTATCGGATCGTGATACCAATGTCAATAAAAAATAATGTATCTTTTCTTTTAAATCTTAACAGATTTTCACTCCATTGATTCTACTCTTTAGTATAAAAATAAATATCATATTGTTTGTGATAACAGATAAATACTTTCAAAGTATAATCGTGATAATTGATGACTACTCAAATGTGGTCAAACTGTCAGTTGTCTGTTTACACCTGTTTACGTTCTGGATGCAGGATTGATTGGAGCTGAGCAGTTTATTTTCTCTATAACACTATCCACAATATGCTAAAAATATATTTCATCATTTTAAAATGTATGTGTCATTGTCTATGTATTTGTTTAACCATGTGAATATGAATGTATGTAACCGAGCTGCTAGTTTAAATAGAAATGTCGTAATTCCTATAATTATACTGAAATGGATAAACATTTGTTTTTTTTATGGCTTTGTATGTTTGTGACTATGCTTGCTTGCATTTACAAAACCATTTGAATACAAAGCAATACGAGTGATGTGTACATGTGTACAGTATATCACGTTCTGATCAAAATACAGAAAAATCTGCAGGGTACAGAAAATGTGACATTCTTTTTAATACAGACATTTTTCAGCAACAGGAGGGTAACGTATGTCAGGGGAGAAAACAGTAGTTTTGCCCTTTGTCCGTATTAGGGGTGCGGGGGGTACCGGTATACCACAATATGAAATGCTAATGAATACACTAGGGCTGGGACAACCCAGGTACCCAACACCCTATTAACCGGCCCTACCCGGATACCCGCTATAGGTCTCAAGAGTTGGGTACAAATTGTCCCAATGGGAATTGTTTGACCGCAGCCCTGGCAAAAACTGTTTAGATACACATATAAAACAATCTGATCATGTATACTCTGCAGTGGATAGATGCTTTATCCTTACTCGAACATATAAAAGTCAAAACGAATGCCTGCATAGTGAGAAAGGAATGTGAACATTAGCTATACTTGTAGTGTAACCATTGAGTTTTATTGTTTATGTCATTAAACAGTATGTCACGTGTGTAACAACGGGTCCGGGTAGTCATGTGGGTATCCGGGTCCTGCTCAGGACCCACCCTACCAGCCCTAGAATACACATCACAATACGTTTGGAACATACCAGTATATTGTGTTTTTTTCAAAATCATGTATGTTTTCATCTTGTTGGCAAAGTTTATTTAAGTGACAAGTCGAATCAAAATTATGGTATTCAATAAGTAGCAACTAATTCATGTGATCGAAGAAGCGAAACTATTCCCAACCAGCTTCCTGTATATAATGTGTCTTTTACACATGCATTGTGACCATAGCAACATCCAGCACAATGGTGGATGATTACAAAGTTGTCAAAAACATATGGGAAAAGTTGTTTTTTCAGGTTCATAACAAATTACAGTTGAAAGAACACATGCAGTATGTTGTGGTACATCAGTTTAAGGCATTGTGTATTCATATTGTGGTACATATTGCAATACATGAATCATTATTGCAATAAATTGCAATACAAAAGTCAATACCCATCACTACAGATAACAAGACATACATGGTGTTTGCTTCCTTTTGTCTTTCATTTGTCAGTTTGCATTTTAATAGTTATTGTCAACAATGTCATGGCACTGTTGCCGCCTATGCAAAGGATGAATTATTGCTATATGAAAGTCTGGCCAACACCCATCACGATATGTTAGCTCACCTGGTCGAAGGGCTGTATCATACCTACATGACAATGTTGTTGCCATTCAAGTTAACTGTCAAAGTGTAATTGTTGCTTAAATAGTTGGTTGGTTGGTTTGTTGTTTAACGCCGCACTCAGCAATATTCCAGCTATATGATGGCAGTTTGTAAATAATCAAGTCTGGACCAGACAATCCAGTGATTGATATCATGAGCATCAATCCACGCATTTGGGATCGATGACATGCATCAACCAAGTCAGCGAGCCTGACCACCCGATTCCGTTAGTCGCCTTTTACGACAAGCATAGTCACCTTTTACGGCAAGCATGGGTTGCTGAAGACCTTATCTCCCGGAATCTTCACGGGTCTACTTAAATAGGAAAGATGTGACACTTATCATCTATGATAGGAATAATCCTAGGCTGAATTCTGCACAAAAATACCTGTAAATTGTCATCAGTGGTAATGGTATCCATATTCCCTTGACCACTTTGAACAGTGTATTTTTTCGGTGTATGTACAAACTGTTGTCATGCCGACAAGACTTATAATGTATCATGTCACCAAGTGTTTCAGTTCATCTGCACCTCAAGCGTGTCATCTGATTCGGACCCATGAAGATCCAGGGTAGAATAGGTCTTCAGCAAACCATACTTGTCGTAAAAGGCGACTGCTTGTCGTAAGAGGCAACTGACGTGATCTGGTGGTCAGACTCGTTGACTTGGTTGATGCATGTCATCGTATCCCAATTGTGTGGATCGATGCTCATGATGTCAATCACTGGACTGTCTGATCTGGGCTAGATTATTTACAGATCGCCGTCATATAACTGGAATATTGCTGAGTGTGATGTTAAACAACAAGCAAACAAACAAATGATGGTCCCTACGAAGATCCAGGTTAGAAATGGTCCTCAGCAGGCCATGCTTGTTGTAAGAGGCAACTAACAGGTCCGGGTCGTCAGGCTCGTCGACTTGGTCGATGCATGTCATCGTATCCCAATTGCGAAAACTGATGCTTATGATGTTGTGAATCACCAGATTGGGTGGTCCAGACCCAATTATTTACAGACCATTGTGATACTGATATAGCTGGAATGTTGCTGAATGAAGAGATGGAGGTTGAGTATTTTTTCCATACTTTCAGATTCTGCAGTGTACCGACTCACCCCGCTTCGATGTAGAAGGGCTAATCCTCAACCAGTCAGCAAGTCACATCATTGTCTGGGGTCTGTCAGGAATTAAAGTAGTGGAGTTGCCACGGCGATATGGGAGATATGCGGAGTTTGAAGGCGGCAAAGACATTGTCTCATGCAGGTAGGTCTTTTATTTGGAGCTGCTTGATATTCATAACTGAAATCGATACTATTGATCGGAAACTGATTTAACAATCGATTTATTAACTTTAAGTGCTTACCAATAGCAATATAGCAATATTTCGATTTATCATGACACCCCTAATGGAAAAGTCTGTCGGTATGTTAGTCTGTAAATAGTTCAACATCATTTCATAGTGCTGAGTCTGTTTTGATACAGGGTTTTACCGGACGAGTAGCTATTGTAAAATAATTATAAATTCTTTTGAGAAAACAACTAGTTACTCTAGATTTTCGCTAGTCTTGGACTACCAGACAAATGGCCGTGTCTGTCCTTGTATGTTGGAATGATTGAAACAAATTAAAGTGAAGCTTGTACTTAAGCATTATTTCATATTTCTACACTGATTAGAAATGTATTCAGCGTTCATATCAGATTTTCTTCACTCAATCGATAACTTTTGGGGGACAAGGGTGGCCAAGTCAGCTAAGGAGCTGCCATTTGCTGTGCAGAGTTTTGTCCTTTGGGCACGCCAGAAACTTTATTGTGGATTCGAATCCCAGTTTGCCCCAGTTATATTTCTAGGTTTGTCAGCACCATACCTATGCTCATGGGTTTCACCAAAGGGGTAAATGTCTAAGACCCCCCATCACTTCGGTCTTTCCTCCCATATTATATAACTGTCCAAAGCAGCATCAAACCCAACCCACTCACTCACTAAGTTTTTTTAAACAAGGAATTCACATTTTTACAGGATTAACAAAATGTCCCTCAAAGTTGATTCACTGCAATAGATCTTTGCATAGTTTTTCTGTGAACATTTATGGGTTTGTTTGACCAAATTTAGAAATGTTCAGTGAGGTGAGTGAAATGGGGTTTAACGTCACGTCCAAGATTATTGCACTTATATAGCAACGTGCGTGCGTGGATCGAACTCCGAACCTTCCTCTCTCGATGGCGGATGCTCTACCACTAGACCAGGTCGGCGGTCAGAGATGTTCAGTGACAGTCTACAGGATTACAGCATGAACTTGTGAAGGGCTCAGTTTGAACCTGTAAGTTTGGATTTATGTCGAGGTGTTGATGACAGATAAAGCTGTTTCTATTCATTCGGATGTCCATTGAATTTCAGAACCATCCAGATTGCCGAGCGCTATTTCACAAGTCAGCAAGGAGTCCGACTCCGCGAGGCTGCATGGCACCCTGGGAGCAGCTCCGACACCCACATCGTACTGCTGACATCGGACAACATCCTCAGGTAGGGCGACATTCAGACATCCTCAAGTAGGGAGACTATCAGACATCCTCAGGTGGGGAGACACTCGGACATCAGACAACATCCTCAGGTAGGGAGACACTCGGACATCCTCAGGTAGGGCGACATTCAGACATCCTCAGGTAGGGAGACATTCAGACATCCCCAGGTGGGGGGACACTCAGACATCCTCAGGTGGGGAGACACTCAGAAATCCTCAGGTAGGGAGACACTCAGACATCCTCAGGTAGGGAGACACTCAGACATCCTCAGGTGGGGAGACACTCAGACATCCTCAGGTGGGGAGACACTCAGACATCCTCAGGTAGGGAGATGCTCAGACATCATCAGGTAGGGAGACATTCAGACATTCTCAGGTAGGGCGGCATTCAGACATCCTCAGGTAGGGAGACTATCAGACATCCTCAGGTGGGGAGACACTCGGACATCAGACAACATCCTCAGGTAGGGAGACACTCGGACATCCTCAGGTAGGGCGGCATTCAGACATCCTCAGGTAGGGAGACATTCAGACATCCTCAGGTGGGGGGACACTCAGACATCCTCAGGTGGGGAGACACTCAGAAATCCTCAGGTAGGGCGACATTCAGACATCCTCAGGTAGGGAGACATTCAGACATCCTCAGGTGGGGGGACACTCAGACATCCTCAGGTAGGGAGACACTCAGAAATCCTCAGGTAGGGAGATGCTCAGACATCATCAGGTAGGGCGACATTCAGACATCCTCAGGTGGGGAGACACTCAGACATCCTCAGGTAGGGAGACACTCAGACATCTTCAGGCAAGGAGACACTCAGACATCAGACAACATCCTCAGGTATGGAGACACTCAGACATCTGACAACATCCTCAGGTAGAGAGACACTCAGACATCAGACATCATCCTAGGGTAGGGGGGTACTAAGACATCAGACAACATCCTAGGGTAGGGAGACACTCAGACATCAGACAACATCCTCAGGCAAGGAGACACTCAGACATCAGACAACATCCTCAGGCAAGGAGACACTCAGACATCAGACAACATCCTAGGGTAGGGGGCACTCAGACATCAGACAACATCCTAGGGTAGGGAGACACTCAGACATCAGACCACATCCTCAGGCAAGGAGACACTCAGACATATGACAACATTCCCAGGTAGGGAGACACTCAGACATCAGTCAACATCCTCAGGCAAAGAGACACTCAGACATCGGTCAACATCCCCAGGCAAAGAGACACTCAGACATCGGACAACATCCTCAGGCAAGGAGACACTCAGACATCAGACAACATCCTAGGGTAGGGAGACACTCAGACATCAGACAACATCCTCAGGTAGGGAGACACTCAGACATCTGACAACATTCCCAGGTAGGGAGACACTCAGTCATCAGACAACATTCCCAAGTAGGGAGACACTCAGTCATCAGACAACATCCTCAGGTTGGGAGACACTCAGACATCAGACAACATTCCCAAGTAGGGAGACACTCAGTCATCAGACAACATCCTCAGGTTGGGAGACACTCAGACATCAGACAACATTCCCAAGTAGGGAGACACTCAGTCATCAGACAACATTCCCAAGTAGGGAGACACTCAGTCATCAGACAACATCCTAGGGTAGGGTAACACTCAGACATCAGACAACATCCTAGGGTAGGGTAACACTCAGACATCGGACAACATCTTCAGGTAGGGAGACACTCAGACATCGGACAACATCCTCAGGCAAGGAGACACTCAGACATCGGACAACATCTTCAGGTAGGGAGACACTCAGACATCGGACAACATCCTCAGGCAAGGAGACACTCAGACATCGGACAACATCCTCAGGTATGGAGACACTCAGACATCAGACAACATCCTCAGGTATGGAGACACTCAGACATCAGACATCATCCTAGGGTAGGGTAACACTCAGACATCGGACAACATCCTCAGGCAAGGAGACACTCAGACATCAGACAACTTCCTCAGGTATGGAGACACTCAGACATCAGACATCATCCTAGGGTAGGGAGACACTCAGACATCTGACAACATCCTCAGGTTGGGAGACACTCAGTCATCAGACAACATCCTCATGCAAAGAGACACTCTGACATCAGACAACATCCTCATCAGAGAGCCCAACAGACACCTACTCACACTCATATTTCTCAGTATTCCGGGAAACTTAATGAGCATTCCTGATATCACATTACCTGTCATGGACAGCAATGGTTATTGCAATTGATGCAAATTGTATGGTGTGCAATTCGCTTTGTAATGGTAAAAGAAGACCGGCAATATGTTTTTTTTATTTTAGAGGAAAATCTGATAACATACCAATACAGTATACATGGACTCTTGCACTATTGACCACATCTGGGGGATGTTAATCTGAAATATGAAATTGTAACATCGCCTTGGAAGTATTACAACCACCCTTACAACCAATGTTACAAAAGGGGGCAAAAATACTAATGATGACATATAAGCTCACCTCTAAATTAGGGGGGTAGGGTAGCCTCGTGGTTAAAGCATTCGCTTGACACGTTGAAGACCTGGGTTCGAATCGCGACATGGGTACAATGTGTGAAGCCCATTTCTGGTGTCCCCCGCCTTGATATTGCTGGAATATTGCTAAAGGTGACATAAACCATACTCACTCACTCACTCAAAATTGGGAATCAGGGCCCCGTTCAAAAAAGCGATCGTTGCACACATGTTAAAGTATGGGAGTTACAATCATCTTAGCGCTACGATCGTATTTGGAATGAGACCCAGACCAATATTGTTTCTCAATCAGCAAAAGGTTTCATATTAACTCCAACTAATCAGATTCAAGTTCTCTCAAATGTTCAGAACAAGGTTGGCGCACATAACAAGGTGTGGACCAACACACCAAGAAAATGCTTTTCCTCTTGTTTTTCCTGTGATAATGGTGCTGAGTAGAAATACACACGCACGCACACTAACTCACACACACTAAAACACGCACGCACGCACACCACACACAATATTTTACACACTGTCACAGCATAATTCCGGACCAACACAAGTGTGCATGCATGTCACTTTGATAGTGAAATAGTCTTGAACATAGTGTGAAACCCCATTTCACCTCCTCCAGAACTTTGGTACATTCATTGACACATGCTTCGGTTTTAGACACTGACCATCTCTCAAGTCACTATAGAAGTGAAATAACCCCATTTCACTGCCTCCCAGAACTCTGGTACATTCATTGACACAATGCTTCAGTTTTAGACTCTGACCGTCCCTCACGTCAGTATAGAAGTGAAATAGTCTTGAACATAGTGTTAAACCCCATTTCACCTCCTCCAGAATTCTGTAGCATTCATTGACACAACGCTTCGGTTTTAGACACTGACCATCCCTCACGTCACTATAGAAGTGAAATAATCTTGAACAAGGCATTAAACCCCATTTCACTGCCTCCCAGAACTCTGGTACATTCATTCACATTGACACAATGCTTTAGTTTTAGACACTGACCATCCTGTTTGTGTCTCCAGCATCTATGACCTGGCGGAACCAGAGAAGGCCATGAAAACAATCGATCTGGACAACGCAGGCAGGTTTGACTTCAGCGCTTCTCCCACCAAGATCAGATTGAGCTCAGCCCTGGGGGAGACGGCTGTCAGCTTCGACTTTGGACCAGCAACAGAACTGAAGACCCGACAACGCCTGGGGGTATCTGCCCTCCAGGAGACCCTCCCCGTGTGGCCGGTGTACGTCGTCAAGGGCAACGGGGATGTCATGGTTGTCTATACAAGTCTGAGGTTCACAAGGTAACAGATGCGTGCGTTGTGATAAAGAAACTCTACTTGTAGACTAACACACCTCTTTTGAGAAGGAAGATTGAGTTGTACAAAGTAACACAGCAACTGAATGTTGTTTTATGCCAGTAATCTTGAAGCTAACTCAAGGCAAATAGTCAAGTCTGTACCAAACAATTGAGTGAGTGAGTTGTGTTAAATGCCGCTTTTAACAGTATTCCATTTACATCACGGCATGTCAGCTTAATGTGGAAGGAAAGCCCGAAGTGATGAGGTCTAAGACGTTTACCACTTCGGTGAACCCCACGATCACGGGTATGGTGCTGACAAACATAGAAAAATAATCAGACAAACCGGGATTCGAACCCACAATCATAGGTTTCTGGCATGCCCAAGTGACGCAACTTTGCAAACGAATTGCGACACCTTTGACGACTGGACCACCCGTACCCCCCTGTACCAGACAAACCAGTGATTGAAAGCATGAGCAACTGCCCACAGGGTGTGATAAAATATAATCAAAATGTTCACATCTTAACCACAGTCCTAGTATTTGTTATGTTTTGGTGTGTTGCTGAGATGATTTGTTGTTTTCCATGTGACAACAGGATTCAAACTTCCTTTTATTACAGTGCAAATGGCAAGGTTGATATAAATCCCTTGTGCCTGGAGGGCACACTTAAAAAGTCATATTGAAAATGTTTATTGTATGAAGCCATCAGTATGTGAAGTAACTGGAGGTCCTTGAGGCTTGCTCCTTTGGTATTTGAATCTAGGGACCCCTACAAGCGGTGGGGTAGCCTAGTGGTTAAAGCGTTTGCTAGTCATGCTGAAGCCCAAGGTTCGATTCCCCACAGGGGTACTATGTGTGAAGCCCCCTTCTGGTATTCCCCGCCATCATTTTGCTAACAGCCGCTTAAAACCAAACTCACAAACTCAATCCCGAGCATTCAACATTAGGATTATGACAAGGACCATTTGATTTCCATGTTTAATTTCACTCAATACCATAATAGTGATAAATGTACTTACAACAAAAGTAAACTGGGCCGACAATGCCAGTATGATTCATAAAATAATCCTGGAGATTCAGAAATGGTAGGGGTCAGATAAAGCTCTGTGCAATGAAGGGAGAGAACTAGCTGGTTGCGAAATGACAATCTCTTAGGTTGAAGTTGGATCAAAAGAATTGTTCTTGCTTGCACACTTAATTAAATGTCACTGAGTTCCCTGTGGCACACCATTGAGAGAAGGTGGGGTAGCCAAGTGGTTAAAGTGTTCACTCGTCACACTGAAGGCCTGGGTTCCATTCCCCCACATGGGTACAATTCTGGTGTCCCCCTCTTTGATGTTGCTGGAATATTGCTTAAAACCATCATCACTCACTAAGGAACCGTGAAGATCCGGGGTAGAATAGGTTTTCAGCAACCCATGCTTGCCGTAAAAGGCGACTATGCTTGTCGTAAAAGGCAACGAACATGATTGGGTGGTCAGGCTTGCTGACTTGGTTTGATGCATGTCATCGATCCAAATTGCGTGGATCGATGCGCCTGATATCAATGCGCATGATATCAATCACTGGCTTGCCTGGTCCAGACTCGTTTATTTACAGACCACGTCATATAGCTTAATATTGCTGAGTGTGGCGTAAATCAACAAACCAACGAACAACCAACCTTGAGAGAAGATACAGTTCTGTCCCTGTACTAACACCCTGTCTACAGAGTCACCTGTTTGTCTCCAGAAACGAGCAGCTTCCGGTGCAGGGGCCGCTGATGATGAGTCCTCCCGCCGACGACAACTACGGCCTGGACGCATGCTCCATCCGTTGTCTCAACATCTCCCCTCCAGTAGTTGTCATAGCAACGTGTGAAGGAAAACTGCATCACTGTGTGGTCATGGCAACTGATGATGACGACCTCTCTATTTCGGTGAGTGTTCATCAAAACAGAATAGCTCTGACATTAAAATTCCCGTGCACAATGATGTCTACTCTCAAACAGTAGCAATTGTGTTTCTACTGAAAGGATCAAGGCATTTTTTAAACTAAATCAGCATTCAGTTCAGTTTTATATATTCAAAGCAATTATTGACAGGTCAGGTATATTGTTGTAGGGGTAGAGTTGCAGCCATCCTGTTAAAAAACAAAAATAAAAGTCCAGTGAATCGAGCCAAAGCCCAGAGAGTGGAAGTGGGTGGTTGGATCCCCGCCTGAGTCGTACAACAGACGCTAGCAGATGGTACTTGTTGTGACGTGTGGACACATGGTCACTTACTGCTGTATAAGGGCAATAATCAGGAACGCAACATTTACCTCCATTCACCTCTAAGACCACATCATGAACAGTTTGGGTTAATGGAGACTATGCAAACAAGTACAGGCCATCTCTGTGATCTAGTGGTAGATTGTCTGACTGGAGAGCTGAATGTCGGGGGTTCGATCGTCGGCTGCATGGTTATGTCCTGTGCTTATGTCTTCCGACTCTCCCGTTGCTTATGTCTTCCGACTCTCCCGTTGCTTATGTCTTCCGACTCTCCCGTTGCTTATGTCTTCCGACTCTCTCGTTGCTTATGTCTTCCGACTCATCCGTTGCTTATGTCTTCCGACTCTCCCGTTGCTTATGTCTTCCGACTCTCCCGCTGCTTATGTCTTCCGACTCTCCCGTTGCTTATGTCTTCCGACTCTCCCGTTGCTTATGTCTTCCGACTCATCAATTGCTATGTCTGCCTATTTCCTGTGCTTTTATCTTCGAACTCATCCGGGGCGGTCGGGTAGCCTAGTGGTTAAAGCGTTGGCTCGTCACGCCAAAGACCCGGGTTCGATTCCCGACATGGGTACAATGTGTGAAGCCCATTTCTGGTGGCCCCACGCCGTGATATTGCTGGAATATTGCTAAAAGCGGCGTAAAACCATACTCACTCACTCACTCACTCTGACTCATCCGTTGCTTATTTCTTTGGATTCATCCATTGCTTATGTCTTCCGACTCATCCGTTGCTTATTTCTTCCAACTCATTCTTATGTCTGCCTATTTCCTGTGCTTATGTCTTCCGACTCATCCGTTGCTTATGTCTTCCAACTCATTCTTATGTCTGCCTATTTCCTGTGCTTATCTCTTCCGACTCATCCATTGCTATGTCTGCCTATTCCTGTGCTTATATCTTCCGACTCATCCGTTGCTTATGTCTTCCGACTCATCCGTTGCTTATATCTTCTGTCTCATCCGTTGCTTATGTCTTCTGACTCATCCGTTGCTTATGTCTTCCAACTCATCCTAATGTCTGCCTATTTCCTGTGCTTATATCTTCTGACTCATCCGTTGCTTATGTCTTCCGACTCATCCGTTGCTTATGTCTTCCAACTCATCCGTTGCTTATGTCTTCCGCCTCATTCTTATGTCTGCCTATTTCCTGTGCTTATATCTTCCGACTCATCCGTTGCTTATGTCTTCCGACTCATCCGTTGCTTATGTCTTCTGACTCATCCATTACTTATGTCTTCCAACTCATTCTTATGTCTGCCTATTTCCTGTGCTTATCTCTTCCGATTCATCCATTGCTATGTCTGCCTATTTCCTGTGCTTATATCTTCCGACTCATCCGTTGCTTATGTCTTCCGACTCATCCGTTGCTTATATCTTCTGTCTCATCCGTTGCTTATGTCTTCTGACTCATCCGTTGCTTATGTCTTCCAACTCATCCTAATGTCTGCCTATTTCCTGTGCTTATATCTTCTGACTCATCCGTTGCTTATGTCTTCCGACTCATCCGTTGCTTATGTCTTCCAACTCATCCGTTGCTTATGTCTTCCAACTCATTCTTATGTCTGCCTATTTCCTGTGCTTATCTCTTCCGACTCATCCATTGCTATGTCTGCCTATTTCCTGTGCTTATATCTTCCGACTCATCCGTTGCTTATGTCTTCCGACTCATCCGTTGCTTATATCTTCTGTCTCATCCGTTGCTTATGTCTTCTGACTCATCCGTTGCTTATGTCTTCTGTCTCATCCGTTGCTTATATCTTCCGACTCATCCGTTGCTTATGTCTTCCAACTCATCCTAATGTCTGCCTATTTCCTGTGCTTATATCTTCTGACTCATCCGTTGCTTATGTCTTCCGACTCATCCGTTGCTTATGTCTTCTGACTCATCCTGTGCTTATTTCTTCTGTCTCATCCGTTGCTTATGTCTTCTGACTCATCCGTTGCTTATGTCTTCCAACTCATCCTAATGTCTGCCTATTTCCTGTGCTTATCTCTTCCGACTCATCCATTGCTATGTCTGCCTATTTCCTGTGCTTATATCTTCCGACTCATCCGTTGCTTATGTCTTCCGACTCATCCGTTGCTTATATCTTCTGTCTCATCCGTTGCTTATGTCTTCTGACTCATCCGTTGCTTATGTCTTCCAACTCATCCTAATGTCTGCCTATTTCCTGTGCTTATATCTTCTGACTCATCCGTTGCTTATGTCTTCCGACTCATCCGTTGCTTATGTCTTCTGACTCATCCGTTGCTTATGTCTTCCAACTCATCCTAATGTCTGCCTATTTCCTGTGCTTATATCTTCTGACTCATCCGTTGCTTATGTCTTCCGACTCATCCGTTGCTTATGTCTTCTGACTCATCCTGTGCTTATTTCTTCTGTCTCATCCGTTGCTTATGTCTTCTGACTCATCCGTTGCTTATGTCTTCCAACTCATCCTAATGTCTGCCTATTTCCTGTGCTTATCTCTTCCGACTCATCCATTGCTATGTCTGCCTATTTCCTGTGCTTATATCTTCCGACTCATCCGTTGCTTATGTCTTCCGACTCATCCGTTGCTTATATCTTCTGTCTCATCCGTTGCTTATGTCTTCTGACTCATCCGTTGCTTATGTCTTCCAACTCATCCTAATGTCTGCCTATTTCCTGTGCTTATATCTTCTGACTCATCCGTTGCTTATGTCTTCCGACTCATCCGTTGCTTATGTCTTCTGACTCATCCGTTGCTTATGTCTTCCAACTCATCCTAATGTCTGCCTATTTCCTGTGCTTATATCTTCTGACTCATCCGTTGCTTATGTCTTCCGACTCATCCGTTGCTTATGTCTTCTGACTCATCCATTACTTATGTCTTCCGACTCATCCGTTGCTTATGTCTTCCAACTCATCCGTTGCTTATGTCTTCCGACTCATCCTAATGTCTGCCTATTTCCTGTGCTTATGTCTTCCGACTCACCCTAATGTCTGCCTATTTCCTGTGCTTATGTCTTCCGACTCAACCGTTGCTTATGTCTGCCTATTTCCTGTGCTTATGTCTTCTGACTCATCCTTATGTCTGCCTATTTCCTGTGCTTATGTCTTCCGACTCATCCTAATGTCTGCCTTTTTCCCGTGCTTATGTCTTCCGACTCATCCTTATGTCTGCCTATTTCCTGTGCTTATGTCTTCCGACTCATCCTTATGTCTGCCTTTTTCCCGTGCTTATGTCTTCCGACTCATCCTTATGTCTGCCTATCCTTGCAGGGTCACTCAAGCTTGGCGCCCCCTCCCAATGCCAGTATCTACGAGCCTGTGGCTGAGCCGACGCTGTGGGTGTACGAGAGTGTGGAGCTGGAGCTGTCCCTCACAACAACCGACATCATTGATGATCGCCTCATTGAAGATGATTTTACCTGTCCAATACGACTCAAGAAAGGTAACAAAATAGTAAACCTTTTGATACTAGATGCCCTGTTAATGATATACTTTGTGAAGTTGTGCATATGTAGGGAAGGGCTTTCTTTTTGCACCATGATGTGTAAAAATTGTATTCATGACCCACAAGGGTACGCACGCACACATGTAAATGCAATAATCTTGAACGCAACGTTAAGCCCCATTTCACCTTACCTCCTTCAGTGCAATAATAGGGCGGTCGGGTAGCCTAGTGGTTAAAGCGTTCGCTCGTCACGCCAAAGACCCGACATGGGTACAATGTGTGAAGCCCATTTCTGGTGTCCCCCGCCGTGATATTGCTAAAAGCGGGGTAAAACTGTACTCACTCACTCACTCACTCACTCACTTTGTTAAGAGTTGTTTATTGCTTGTGTAACCATTCATCCAAGTAACTGACAGGTGTGTGTGTTATTCAGGGGTTAGGGGCAGTCGAGTTGCCCAGTGGTAAAAGCGTTGCTTGTCACGTCGAAGACCCGGGTTCGATTCCCAAATGGGTACAATGTGTGAAGCCCATTTCCGGTTGCCCCCAGCCGTGATATTGCTGGAATATTGGTAAAAGCGGCGTAAAACTCACTCACACACCCATGCTCATCGGTTTCACCAAAGTGGTAAATGTCTGAAACTTGCCTCACTTACCTCCGTGGTCTTGTGGTAGAACATCCGCCCGGAGAGCAGACGGTCCAGGTTTCGATCTCCGTCCTCGTCATACCAAAACACATTAAAAGATGTTACTTGTTGTTACCCTGCCTGGCACTCGGCATTAAGGGGATAAAACAAGGACTGGTCGGCCCAGAGTCGGCATACTGTGTCTGGGTGGGGTATCCATGTTAAGCTGCGGCATGGTGTCTCAGTGGGCTAGTACTATATCGGCATTAGCCAAGACTAGTACAAGCAGACATACCCATGCATGCACGCACGCATGCATGCACATCAGTCAAGTCCTGTTACTCCGACATTGTTGTTTGCATATGATTATGTCGGATTAACGAGTATGTTTGATAAATGAAATTAAGTAGTATCAACGTTCGTGATCGAAAATCGGATAACTACATGATAGATAACCATACAAACATGTAATAAAAAAATATGAATGAAATATTCATATTGTCATGTTACATTGTTAATGGAATATGTTTTCTAGTCATGCAACTTCTAAAGCTCAACACAAAACAACTGTTACGGACTGTATGACTTATTCAAAATACTTTTAAAAGCATAGTCTGGAATGGAAGTTGCAAGTTTGATACAGGTACCGCAAAGCTACGAAAGCTGCTTTCTAAGTGGCTAACGTTAACTTCCTGTTAGTTATTTCATTGGTCGGTCGTAGTTCGCCAAAGGTTGTTCTGACGTAACCATCTGTAATCGGATGTCCTCAGCGATAGCGAGAACTTGTATCTGATTTTAATGATATTGAGGTAATCTAAGCATGTTTTCTTTATTTAAAGCATTAATTGTTTATTGTTAGGCAAGTTTATCTCTGCAGCTGTTGTAATATGCAGCTACCAGCCGACTCGTCTTGCATCATAACACGAGCTGTGTACTCGCGGGCAGATGACCACGGAGTACTCTGATCACTGTGTCGGATTAACAAGACTGATTAATGAGTGATTTCGGTAATTCTGGATACCTGAACCTTTTTTCCTAATCCTGATTGTGACATCTCTCCCACTTTTGAATGCGATCGTGTGGCCAATGCGTTTATCAGCATTCCCCAGCTACATCTATGGGGAACAACTCACTAGACACTTCCCTCTTAAAAACAGAGTCATCCAAAATAGTTGCAAGCGCATAGTTGAATCTCATGAAATGACGTCATGACAGAACAATGTTTCGTCATGAAATAAACCACACTTCGTTCTTTATTGTTCTTTGGCCCGGAGAGCCGCGTCATACCTAAAGACGTTAAAAGATGGTACTTGTTGTTACCCTGTCTGGCGCTTGACATTAAGAGGCTAAAACAAGGACTGGTCGGCTCGGAGTCAGTATGCTGTGTCTGAGTGGGGTATTCGTGTTCAACTGCGGCATGGTATCTCATTGGGCTAGCACTATAAATCGGCATCAGTCCGGACTAGTACAAGCAGCCACACAAACACACACACGTACATGCACGTCGCTATATAAGTGCAATAATCTTGGACGCGACGTTAAACCCAATTTCACCTCACCTTATTGTTCTTTGTGATTTATGGCGTAGCTGTCTTATATTTCCAGTTACGTTACAGGTTGTATGTCCCGAGATGGAATCTAGGATTCCACACTCATCCCCTTGACCGGGAAAATTGAAAATTGTAATTTTATTCAATCATGGGGTCTTTTTGAAGCTGTTATTTTCTTAATTTCAGAGGTATTTCAGCATTGTGTTGTGACATTGCAAACTGTAAAATAATGTTAAATAAAGCATTAAGGCCTCGTAATTTTGATCATGTTTGGTTTTTTTCTCTGTGGTGCAAGTAAATTCAACCAAGCCATCGCATTTGTTAAATTATTCTACTCATTCTGTATAGACTCCAGTTAATCTGTCATGGCATGCCTATAGCATAATTTACTGTAGTCTTATGAAAGATTGCGTGGATCGATGCTCGTGATGTCAATCACTTGATTGTCTGGTCCAGACTTGATAATTTACAGACCGCCGTCTTAAAGCTAAAATATTGCTGAGTGCAGCGTTAAACAACAAACCAACAACAACACATGAAAGAATCTAGTTGTCCTTAACTTCTTTTGAGTAGTATATATAACATTGATGTGGAGCCAAACATCAGTCTCTGAGCAGGTCGGGTTTCCTTTCATTAGTCCAGATTCATTTCTCAAAATGTTTTATGTTTATTTATTTTATATTTCCTATTTATATGCGATGGGCATTTTCAGAAAATATATCACCTGGAAGTAATAAAACTGTATGTTGAGTCTGCTGTGTGATAGATGACTGATGCGACATGTCTCATTTACAGCATATTTAGTTCACCAACTGAACAAATAATATATACAGCATGTATATGCATGTCAGTAGGTGACAATAGGACCCGTGAAGATCAAGGTTAGAATAGGTCATCAGCAACCCATGCTTGCCGTAAAAGGTGACCATGCTTGTCGTACGAGGCAACTAACGGGTTGGTCAGGATCCAGTTGATGCATGTCATCATATCCCCATTGCGTAGATCAATGCACGTGATGTCACTCACTGAATCATCTGGTCCAGACTCGTTTATTTAAGACCACAGTGAGAATAGATCCACTGTTCCTCATGCTGACTTGATAGAGATTGGGTTGTTAGTGTGAGAATAGATCCCTGTGCCTCATGCTGACTTGATAGAGATTGGGTTTTTAGGGGGAGAATAGATCCCTGTGCCTCATGCTGACTTGATAGAGATTGGGTTGTTAGGGTGAGAATAGATCCCTGTACCTCATGCTAACTTAATAGAGGTTGGGTTGTTAGGGGGAGAATAGATCCCTGTGCCTCATGCTGACTTAATAGAGATTGGGTTGTTAGGGTGAGAATAGATTCCTGTACCTCATGCTGACTTAATAGAGATTGGGTTGTTAGGGTGAGAATAGATCCCAGTACCTCATGCTGACTTAATAGAGATTGGGTTGTTAGGGTGAGAATAGATCCACTGTACCTCATGCTGACTTAATAGAGATTGGGTTGTTAGGGGGAGAATAGATCCCAGTACCTCATGCTGACTTAATAGAGATTGGGTTGTTAGGGGGAGAATAGATCCCTGTACCTCATGCTGACTTAATAGAGATTGGGTTGTTAGGGGGAGAATAGATCCCTGTACCTCATGCTGACTTAATAGAGATTGGGTTTTTAGGGTGAGAATAGATCCCTGTACCTCATGCTGACTTAATAGAGATTGGGTTGTTAGGGTGAGAATAGATCCACTGTACCCTCACTGTAACACGTACTAAATATGATGGTGTATGGATCAAGGTCTACATCCTTTGCGGTACAAAAAGTGCTGTAAATTTTTTTAAAGAATTGACTTTCACTTATGAACCTTCATAGAGTGAGGTCCGCAAGCTCCGACGTTCATACAGTTTGGCCATCACTCTATGAAGGTTCATACTCCAATGAACTCACACAAAGTGAAGTTCAATTCTTAAATAGTGCAATAATCTTGGATGCGACATTCAACCCCATTTCACCACCTCATTATTTACATGTCATCACAATATAGGTGGAATGTTGTAATTTTGTGTGCAAAAATGATGGTCAAGAATAGAGTCAATTAAGTGCACTGATAACGTATTTGTTAAAAAAAACTATTTGAAAAGAAATGTCGCAGTGACACATGATAGTTAGGCTGTGCTGAAATTTTAGATTCTAGTTTCTATGTTGTACCGTTATGAGTTTCCTGTGAATCCGATTAAATGGGTTTGGGGATTGCACATTATGCAAATGTCTTTCTAATAATGGAGGGATAATGGATTCATATCTACCTACTGAACATAAATGTTGGTTTATGAATATGGCAAACCAGGATGAAATGTCACCTGCAAGACATAAACAAGTATTGTCCTGCCAGCCGATGTGACGGATGTTGCTCAGGTGTTGCCTGTCTGTTCCCGCTGACCGCACTAGAAAAACCTCATGTTCAGGTGGAATGCAGGTTTTTACCTCTACTTGCAAAAGCGAGGGTCAAGGGACCCCCAATAATTAATTCTAAGGGTGATATGAGGGTCCTGTAAAGTAATGAAATGGTGTAGTGTACTGTAAGTTTTAATAATTCAGCATTAGAAATTGGCAGTAGTCCTGTAGTCCTTGCCAAAATGCCCAATAGTTAAGGTATCATAAGGATTTGTAGAAATTTGCCATTTTTAAGGGGTTTGCTAAATGTTATCATTATAAGGACTTGTGGGCTAAAACTGTTAGTTTCTACCACTGTAATTACTTTAGAGCCTGGAAGGAATCAGTGATCACGTGGACAGTGGTCATGATTGATGGGTGAAATGACAGATGTCCATAACTTCTCTTGATGCACTGTAGGTGCAGTGAATATCATTGCAGCATTAGAAATTGGCACTGGTCCTGTAGTCCTTGCCAAACTGGCCAATAGTTTAGGTATCAAGGACTAGTAGAAATTTGCCCTTTTTAAGGGTTTTGCTATATGTTATCATTATAAGGATTAGTGGACTAAAACTGTTAGTTTCTACCGCTGATTATTGTGTATTTTTCTTCTGTGTCCGTGCTCTATATATGTACGTACTGGACGCACATTTTTGCATCGCGCAAAAAAACCCCTGAAATAGTTGTACTTCCTCATATGTGTTTTAATTCAGTTTTTTTTGCGTGTAAAACTTTGAATATTTCCCTTAGAACAATTATTCTTTTGTGAAAGGCGTTATGGGTGATACTTTTATCTCCTATTGTCAACTGATTGTTCGTCTGTCCCAAGTTTTATGTCATGTAAATCCACAACGTGTCAGAATTGACGAGTTGACGTGTTCACGTGGGGTGTCTGATCTCACCTCTGACCGCTGGAACAAAACAAGACAAATCATTCTTCATTTCTGAATAGTTCCTTTCATTGTTTGACCTCAGGTCAGGTCGTCATGCATGTATTAGTGATATTGTGCAATAAATTAGCCATGTTTATGCGGCTATAAGTCTGGGTGTTGACAGTGTGGTTGGGATTGAATCTAGAAGGCCATGAAGCCTAGGTGTGTCGTACCTCACTTGTCAGCCTGCGCATAAACGTGTCGGAAAAACCTCTTAGCATTGGTGAATATTGGGATATTGCAATGTATCATTCTGTCATTATTATATTTAATTGCCCCGTTCCGACAGCTTTATGTAATGCCTTCGTCCTTACACACATTCTCCACACTCACAGAATAAGTAATTAGTTTTACAGTTTCATAATGGATTTATTCTTTTATTTATTTGATAGCTACATGGTAATGTTGCATCATGGGAAAGTTATACAATTATGTGAGAAATAGTTGTTTTTATGATCCTTTTTGTAAGAAGATAGTTTTCAGGTAAATAATGTTATGATCCGTGAATATTAATTCAGTTGAAAATAATTAATATTTTCTTCTTTTAGATCCATGCACTTCAACCCGTTACCACTGTTGCCATGGCGCCGGAGTCCACAGTGTTGCTTTGCCTTGGCTCAGCTGTGTGCACAGGTTCCTCACAGGTGAGTCTGTTACGAATAGGGGAACCTGTAAAGATCCGGGGATAATATGTCTTCCGCAACCCATGCTTGTCGTAAGAAGCGTCTACCAGAATTGGAAGGTCAGGCTCGCTGACTTGGTTGATGCATGTCATCGTATCCCAACTGGGTGGATTGATGCTCATGATGTCAATCACTGGATTGTCTGGTCCCGCCCCGATTATTTATCTGGAATATTGCTGAGTGTGGCGTTAAACAACAACCAGAAGACATAGCTGTTAATGCCAGACAACTGAGCAGTAGTTCATATTTGGTTGGCTCCTGTTTCAGCTGAAAGCAATGAGTCAAGTCTCCCTCACAACCAGGAGTGTGTGGTGGAACACTTAGTCTGCACCAAGCCCCTCCCATCCAGGTAAGCAAGATCCTTTGTTTGCAGCATGCCTGTGCTTAGCTGCTCCCCTTTAGGTTAATGATAACCATGCCTATACTAAGCTCCTCCCCACTAGGTTAATGATAGCCGTGCCTGTACTAAGCTCCTCCCCCCCTTGGTTAATGATAACCATGCCTGTACTAAGCTCCTCCCCCCTAGGTTAATGATAACCATGCCTGTACTAAGCTCCTCCCCCCTAGGTTAATGATAGCCGTGCCTGTACTAAGCTCCTCCCCCCTTGGTTAATGATAACCATGCCTGTACTAAGCTCCTCCCCCCTAGGTTAATGATAACCATGCCTGTACTAAGCTCCTCCCCCCTAGGTTAATGATAGCCGTGCCTGTACTAAGCTCCTCCCCCCTTGGTTAATGATAACCATGCCTGTACTAAGCTCCTCCCCCCTAGGTTAATGATAACCATGCCTGTACTAAGCTCCTCTCCTCTAGGTCAGTGATAACCATGTCTGTGCTTAGCTTCTCCCCTGTAGGTCAATGATAACCATGTCTGTACTAAGCTCCTTCCCTCTAAGTCAGTGATAACCATGCCTGTACTAAGCTCCTTCCCTCTAGGTCAGTGATAACCATGTCTGTGCTTAGCTTCTCCCCTGTAGGTCAATGATAACCATGCCTGTACTAAGCTCCTCTCCTCTAGGTCAGTGATAACCATGTCTGTGCTTAGCTTCTCCCCTGTAGGTCAATGATAACCATGTCTGTACTAAGCTCCTTCCCTCTAAGTCAGTGATAACCATGCCTGTACTAAGCTCCTTCCCTCTAGGTCAGTGATAACCATGTCTGTGCTTAGCTTCTCCCCTGTAGGTCAATGATAACCATGCCTGTACTAAGCTCCTCCCCTCTAGGTCAGTGATAACCATGCCTGTACTAAGCTTCTCCCCTCTAGGCCAGTGATAACCACGCCTGTACTAAGCTTCTCCCCTGTAGGTCAATTATAACCACGCCTGTACTAAGCTCCTCCCCTCTAGGTTAGTGATAACCATGCCTGTACTAAGCTCCTCCCCCCTAGGTTAATGATAACCATGCCTGTACTAAGCTCCTCTCCTCTAGGTCAGTGATAACCATGTCTGTGCTTAGCTTCTCCCCTGTAGGTCAATGATAACCATGTCTGTACTAAGCTCCTTCCCTCTAAGTCAGTGATAACCATGCCTGTACTAAGCTCCTTCCCTCTAGGTCAGTGATAACCATGTCTGTGCTTAGCTTCTCCCCTGTAGGTCAATGATAACCATGCCTGTACTAAGCTCCTCCCCTCTAGGTCAGTGATAACCATGCCTGTACTAAGCTTCTCCCCTCTAGGCCAGTGATAACCACGCCTGTACTAAGCTTCTCCCCTGTAGGTCAATTATAACCACGCCTGTACTAAGCTCCTCCCCTCTAGGTTAGTGATAACCATGCCTGTACTAAGCTTCTCCCCTCTAGGCCAGTGATAACCACGCCTGTACTAAGCTCCTCCCCTCTAAGTCAGTGATAACCATGCCTGTACTAAGCTCCTCCCCTGTAGGCCAGTGATAACCACGCCTGTACTAAGCTCCTCCCCTCTAGGTCAGTGATAACAATGCCTGTACTAAGCTCCTCCCCTGTAGGTCAGTGATAACCATGCCTGTACTAAGCTCCTCCCCTGTAGGTCAGTGATAACCATGCCTGTACTAAGCTCCTCCCCTCTAGGCCAGTGATAACCACGCCTGTACTAAGCTCCTCCCCTCTAGGTCAGTGATAACCATGCCTGTACTAAGCTCCTCCCCTCTAGGTCAGTGATAACCATGCCTGTACTAAGCTCCTCCCCTCTAGGCCAGTGATAACCATGCCTGTACTAAGCTCCTCCCCTGTAGGTCAGTGATAACCATGTCTATGCTTAGTTACTCCCCTCTAGGTCAGTGATACCTTTGCCTGTGCTCAGCTCCTCCCTTTAGGTCAGTGATAACCTTGCCTGGATGTGTTTCAGCCCGGCAGCTCCAATTCTCGGTCTTGACATCATCACGGACCCATCCTTGTCTCCATCACTGCTGACCTTGACAAGTGACTTTGAGTTTGTGGCGCTGCCCTTAAGGTGAGAGTTACAGCATAGAATACACAATAACCCATATAACTCTGTCAGGTCACGTAATTTTACCATGTTTGTACTGGCTTCTCCTTCATGTGGCCCAGTCATCTAAGTCATTTTTTTCTAAGGCGCCACGGTTCACTGTGCAGAGTTGCGTCCCTTGGGCATGCCAGAAACCTATGATTGTGGGTTCGAATCCCAGTTTGCCCCGATTATGTTTCTAGGTTTGTCAGCACCATACCCGTGCTAGTGGCTTTCACCGAAGTGGTAAACGTCTGAGACCTGCATCACTTCAGGCTTTCCTCCCACATTAAGCTGTCACGCCGTGATATAACTAGAATACTGTTAAAAGCGGCTTTAAACCCAACTCACTTACTTACTCATGTGATGAACAAACTAGCTGGGATTGAAGACTTGCTTTTGTTCAAATATTTGTACAAAAATTTCTGAAAACAGCGGTTTTACTTTTATTGTCTTAAAAATTACAATAAATACACACAAAGGAAAAAAATGTTAGTTTAGCGTTAAATGAACATTTCTGATAACGTACTTAATCAAAAGGTTTCCTTTGTCTTTTTCAATTGGCTGTTTCTGTACATCCAATTATATCTTGTTTTACCTCCATAGTGGTCAGCAAACTCCACTAGTTGTTTGTTGTCTGTGAAGTAGGTCAAAATCTCTTTAACTTTTCTTCACCAATCTTTACACAGATGACCGCCTCCGTGGTCTAGTGGTAGAGCGTCCGCCTGGAGAGCGGAAGGTCTGGGGTTCGATCCCCGGCTGCGTCATACCAAAAGACGTTAAAAGATGGTACTTGTTATTACCCTGTCTGGCGCTCGGCATTAAGCGGCTAAAACAAGGACTGGTCGGCTCGAAGTCAGTATACTGTGTCTGAGTGGGGTATTCATGTTAAACTGCGGCATGGTATCTCAGTGAGCTAGCACTATAAATCGGCATCAGTCCGGACTAGTACAAGCAGCCACACAAACAGACACACGTACATGCACGTCGCTATATAAGTGCAATAATCTTGGACGCGATGTTAAAACCCCATTTCACCTCACCTTTACACAGATAATAATGTGGTGCTGATTAGTTTTTTTAATGACCAAATATGTGTCGTTAGCAACATCGGTAGGTATCAGCTTTGGTCATATTCACCAATAAACTGATGGACCCAAACAACCCCATGCCAAATTAAATATCATATATATTTTAGCTTCCCACAAACATCTGTAAATCAGTTACCATGGTTACAAAATGCTGTTGCTGTTACACTGTGTGCATGTTTCTTTCAGCACCAAGTGCAGCAGTCTCAGTGAGCCCCGGTCCTTGTTGTCAGACTCCCCGGGACCAGCAGTAACCTCCCCTCTCCGCCAGCTGAACCGTGAACCGTTTGACCAACACATCGCCAAGATTCTCCTTAGAAGCTCCTCACACCCAGTCCTCAAGTAAGTCATGCTGTGAAGTCAATGAAGTGAGTGAACGTTACTGTAGACCATTGTTATGTAGGTTAGTCTAGTTGGGAACTGGTGCCTTTGATGATTTGGGATTTTATTTTGTCTTTATTTTGATTTTTCCATGACGACAAGTTGGCCTTATTCTGACAATGAGGTTGGTGCTCCAAAACCGTTGAATATTTCTGGATTAAACTTGCTATGCAGATTAGTCTAGTGGGGAACTGGGATAATTCTTCTTTCTTTTCTTTTTTTCTTCTTTTTATGATATTTTGGATGAAAACAATTTGTTTTCTGTTTCTAGAGCAGAAGTCCAAAACCATTAAATATTTCATGTTGAAACTTGATATGTGGATCAGTTTTGTGGTGAGCTTGGTGCCTTTTAATGATTTGGGATTAATTTACTTTTTTATTTTTCCATGACAACAAGTTGGACTACTGGAAGTGAGGGTAGTGCTCGCTTCAGGAGCAGAACTCTGGTCTTGATCCAATTATTTATTTTTTTTCTTTTATTGTTTTTAGAAAGACACACTTGTTACATAAATGGGCTTCCGCCCAGGGTAGCAGAAAGCCCATGACATAAAGCACAACTTATCAGTACATCTTACTTTGTTGTTTTTTTTATACAGAAAATAACATGTTTTAGTCTGTTTTCAGTCGTACAATTGGGTATCTCATACCTCTAGTCGCACGTTAAAAGGAAGCTAGAAGCTGGAATGTAAACAATAAACTTGTTTCCGTCCGGTTGCGCACGCACCTCCCGATGACATGCCACAAATCTCTCAGCGCGCCTCTGAGCTGGTCGCTCGAGAAGGACTTTCGCGATAGACTGCTAGTTTGTATTCTACTAGTCCGTATTGTGTGTCTACAGTTGTTGTTCTAATACAGTAATAATACTATGTCTTACCTGTAGACTCCTGGAATGTAATCATTGGTAATCCATTGTTTGGGTTCAACACGTGTTTCACTTGATTATACATGTGGCAACATGTCGGGCATTTGTGCCTCGTGTCAAGGACAACTGTCTAAAGTAGATCCTCACAAGTATTGTCCTTCCTGCATAAATAAGGACGGGCTTTCAACGTGTTCGTGGAATAAACGTTGTTAAGAATGTGAGCATTTGTCTTCTATCAACTTTAACTTGTATCTTCGTGCGTTGGCGAAGCGGGCTACTGACCAGCGCTACAGGCAGAGGAGGTCATCGGGTGGATCCTTGGACTCTGCACCCCCTACATCTGGCCCTGGGGGTGGCGCGTCGGCCACACCCAAGAAATCAGTTGAAAAAGACCCGCCTCAGTCAACTTATGTTTTTTGACAAGACACGGGACCGTTCGCCTGCTGATGATACTACCCGCACGACTGATCTTCGTCAATCGGTTGATCGAGAGCGTCATTCAGCCACCCCCGTTACGACGGGACCGGGTGGTGACGAGGACCACGAGGGGACTACGGTCCCCAGTCGGTCCGTCTCTCATCCTACCAACGACGATAGGAACGTTGTGCGGGTCGACAGTGAACACAGATCCCTCTCTAGAAGTCGTTCCCGTTCACGGGACGACAGGTCGAGGGCCTCGTCGAGTGACAGTAAACGACACGAGGACGTTCATCGCCTTCGAGGTCGTCGGGAGTTCGATTCGGACGATAACTACGATGGGGATCGTAGTACTTCTACAGTTAGAGATCGTAGCCCTCGCCCCCACGGGGACGTGCGACGCCTTCGAAGGGAGTTTTTGGGAGATCAGCGTCGTAGAGATAATGATCGATCGTGACCCTCGTCTCACTTTCATATCGGCCCGGCTTTGATAGGCCAGATGACGGCGGCGGTACTCGCCTTGACGGCGTCGACCGAGAAGGGTTCGTCTACGTCGGAGGTCCATGGACAATCGTCCTGTACACCGGTTCCTCCATCTACGCCTACACAATCGACGTCGACAATGGATTGTGACGACAGCGTCATAGAGATAATGATCGATCGTGACCCTCGTCTCACTTTCATATAGACCCGGCTTTGATAGGCCAGATGACGGCGGCGGTACTCGCCTTGACGGCGTCGACCGAGAAGGGTTCGTCTACGTCGGAGGTCCATGGACAATCGTCCTGTACACCGGTTCCTTCATCTACGCCTACACAATCGATGTCGACGATGGATTGTGACGACAGCATCGTAGAGATAATGACCGATCGACACCCTCGTCTCACTTTCATATCGCCCAGGCTTGGATAGCCCAGATCACGACGGCGGTACTCACCTCCAGGGCGTCGACCAAGAAGGATTCGACTACGTCAGAGGTCCATGGACCATCGACCAATACACCAGTACCTTCATCTACATCTACACAATCGACGTCGACGATGGATTGTGACGACAGCCTGGCTATGGCTTGGCTATCTCACTTTTCTGCCTGAGTTATCAAAAGATGATGACAAACCGACGTGTGCTGGCTTAAAGGTTGGAGTCTCTTCAGTCTTCTCCTCCCAATGTCTTCAGAGCCATGGTTCACGATATGGACCAGAACTTGCCTCTGCTCTGCCGGGGCAGAGTTTCAGCAAACCACCTGTTCGATCGCGTTACCCGATCTATGGCATGCCGTTTTCATCACCCATGAGTAGGGACTTGGATTGGGGGCTACTCTTCAAGAAACCAGCGCCCTCCAAGATTCTTGTAGTAGACAGGCATTGGGGTTCCATGGACAATGCTGTTCGTCTCCAGCTACAACCGCTTGCTATGCTGTCGACAGCGAGCCGGCGGGGGAGGTAATGAGGTCCCTTTTCCCCGCCGTCACCGTCGTCGGAGCCTACTACCTTTAGACGAGCTACCGGTAGGGGGAAGACTTCATCACACGGATCATGAAGACGGTCGTAGAATGGCTCCGTCGGCAGGCGATCAGGGTCGCCTTCTACCTAGACGAGCCGTCTCCTACGGGCGACAGGCTCACTAAAATACCGGAATTGCAGAAAATTCTACGTGCCTTCATGGTTGAAGATGAGTCACATTAATTCCGCCTGCCCGCCTGGGACCTCGATATCGTTCTGCGCTACCTGTCTAGTTAGACTTACGAGCCTCTCGATCAGGTCGCCTTCGACATTGTCTCCGACTAGAAGTACTGCTCGTATTTTTTAGTTACCTTGTATACTGCGAGTTGCTCTGTAACTAAATTATGCGCCGACCACACTTCGATCGCATTTCATCTGTCGTGTGCAGTTGTCATGTCGCATCGATAATTTGTTGTTTGTCGAAGAGCATTAACCATGCTATTTTTCGTTACCTTGGATACGACGAGTCGTTCTGAACCACTTTATATACCGTCCACACTTCGATCGCAATTCAACTGTCGTGTGCAGTTGTCCTGTCGCTTCGATAGTTACTTGTGGGTCGAAGAGCATTAAACATGCTGTTTTAGTTACCTTGTATACTGCGAGTTGCTCTGTAACTAAATTATGCGCCGACCACACTTCGATCGCAATTCATCTGACGTGTGCAGTTGTCATGTCGCATCGATAATTTGTTGTGTGTCGAAGAGCCTTAACCATGCTATTTTTCGTTACCTTGGATACGACGAGTCGTTCTGAACCACTTTATATACCGTCCACACTTCGATCGCTATTCAACTGTCGTGTGCAGTTGTCCTGTCGCTTCGATAGTTACTTGTGGGTCGAAGAGCATTAAACATGCTGTTTTAGTTACCTTGTATACTGCGAGTTGCTCTGTAACTAAACTATACGTCGACCGCTTCGATCGCAGTTCAACTGACGCGTGCAGTTGTCCTGTCGCATCGATAATTAGTAGTGTGTCGAAGAGCATTAAACATGCTGTTTTAGTTACCTTGCCTACGACGAGTCGTTCTGTAACTACATTATAAGCCGACCACGTTTCGATCGCACCTCAACTGACATGTGCAGTTGTCCTGTCGCATCGATACTTACTTGTGGGTCGAAGAGCATTAAAGATGCTGTTTAGTTACCTTGTATACTGCGAGTTGCTCTGTAACTAAACTAGTTGACCACTTCGATCGCCGTTCAACTGACGCATGCAGTTGTCCTGTCGCATCGATAATTAGTTGTGTGTCGATGAGCATTAACCATGTTGTGCGTTCGTGATAAACAATTTGTCTCGTCCGTGCATCTGGTCGAATGTTCTATTGTCACTACGGGGGTGAGGAACTTGGTACATTCGACGTGCAAGAGGTCACTTCCGGATTACTTTCCAGACCCTCCTTCCAGTGTTCCGTCGAATTCTACCCAATTGTACGACTGAAAACAGACTAAAACATGGGTTTTTCAGATTAAAAACGATGTTTTATTGGTCTGTTTTCAGTCGTACGTTCCCACCCAGCCATCCCCACTGGGAAGTAATCCAGTCCAGTCCTGCTTGATGGCTTATTCTTCGAGATTTGTGGCATGTCATCGGGAGGTGCGTGCGCAACCGGACGGAAACAAGTTTATTGTTTACATTCCAGCTTCTAGCTTCCTTTTAACGTGCGACTAGAGGTATGAGATACCCAATTGTACGACTGAAAACAGACCAATAAAACATCGTTTTTAATCTGAAAAACCCATACTTCTCACTCACACATTCACTCTTGTTTATATATCATATTGCAGTTTAGGAAAGTACATGGTCTCAAACATTAAAATCTTAAGTACAAAACTAAAATTAAATTGAAAGCTGCTCCTCATTTTCGAAAAGTTGATGATACAGCATTTGATCCAGTTATTTACAGGATGATGTCATACAGCTTAAACACTACTGTTTGCGATGTTAAACAAACAAGCAATCACTCACAAAGTAACATCCTGTCAGTCTTCTTCTGTGCAGATTTAGTTAATGGTCTATAAATTTTGAAAATATTTTCAAATCTTTCTCTGAGAAATCCAAGGTCTTTGAGGACCAATTGTGTGTAATTCTGAGTGGTCACATCAGGTGTATGACATGTGAATGTTCCAGGTCTGGCCCCAAGTCGGAGTTATCCCAGCAGGAGTGCTTCCAGCTGCTGACTCGCGCCACCCAGGTGTTCAGGGAGGAGTACATACAGAAGCAGGACCTCGCCAGGCAGGAGATCGAGACCAGGTGAGGGTGTGGCAGACAAGGTGAGGGTGTGGCAGACCAGGTGAAGGAGGGGCAGGACAGGTAAAGGAGGGGCAGGACAGGTGAGGGAGGGGCAGACCAGGTGAGGGAGGGGCAGGCCAGGTGAGGGAGGGGCAGGCCAGGTGAGGGTGTGGCAGACCAGGTGAGGGTGTGGCAGACCAGGTGAGGGAGGGGCAGACCAGGTGAGGGTGTGGCAGACCAGGTGAGGGTGTGGCAGACCAGGTGAGGGAGGGGCAGACCAGGTGAGGGTGTGGCAGACCAGGTGAGGGAGGGGCAGGCCAGGTGAGGGAGGGGCAGGCCAGGTGAGGGTGTGGCAGACCAGGTGAGGGTGTGGCAGACCAGGTGAGGGAGGGGCAGACCAGGTGAGGGTGTGGCAGACCAGGTGAGGGAGGGGCAGGCCAGGTGAGGGAGGGGCAGGACAGGTGAAGGAGGGGCAGGCCAGGTGAGGGAGGGGCAGGCCAGGTGAGGATGGGGAAGGCCAGGTGAGGGAGGGGCAGGACAGGTGAAGGAGGGGCAGGCCAGGTGAGGGGGGGGCAGACCTGGTGAGGGAGGGGCAGACCAGGTGAGGGAGGGGCAGACCAGGTGAGGGAGGGGCAGGCCAGGTGAAGGAGGGGCAGGACAGGTGAAGGAGGGGCAGGCCAGGTGAGGGGGGGGCAGACCTGGTGAGGGTGTGGCAGACCAGGTGAGGGAGGGGCAGACCAGGTGAGGGAGGGGCAGGCCAGGTGAAGGAGGGGCAGGACAGGTGAAGGAGGGGCAGGCCAGGTGAAGGAGGGGCAGGCCAGGTGAAGGAGGGGCAGGCCAGGTGAAGGAGGGGCAGGCCAGGTGAAGGAGGGGCAGGCCAGGTGAAGGAGGGGCAGGCCAGGTGAAGGAGGGGCAGGCCAGGTGAGGGAGGGGCAGGCCAGGTGAGGGAGGGGCAGGCCAGGTGAAGGAGGGGCAGGACAGGTGAGGGAGGGGCAGGCCAGGTGAGGGAGGGGCAGGCCAGGTGAAGGAGGGGCAGGCCAGGTGAGGGAGGGGCAGGACAGGTGAAGGAGGGGCAGGCCAGGTGAGGGAGGGGCAGGCCAGGTGAAGGAGGGGCAGGCCAGGTGAAGGAGGGGCAGGCCAGGTGAAGGAGGGGCAGGCCAGGTGAAGGAGGGGCAGGCCAGGTGAAGGAGGGGCAGGCCAGGTGAGGGAGGGGCAGGCCAGGTGAGGGAGGGGCAGGCCAGGTGAAGGAGGGGCAGGACAGGTGAAGGAGGGGCAGGCCAGGTGAAGGAGGGGCAGGCCAGGTGAAGGAGGGGCAGGCCAGGTGAGGGAGGGGCAGGCCAGGTGAGGGAGGGGCAGGCCAGGTGAAGGAGGGGCAGGACAGGTGAGGGAGGGGCAGGCCAGGTGAAGGAGGGGCAGGCCAGGTGAAGGAGGGGCAGGCCAGGTGAGGGAGGGGCAGGCCAGGTGAAGGAGGGGCAGGCCAGGTGAGGGAGGGGCAGGCCAGGTGAAGGAGGGGCAGGACAGGTGAGGGAGGGGCAGGCCAGGTGAGGGAGGGGCAGGCCAGGTGAAGGAGGGGCAGGCCAGGTGAGGGAGGGGCAGGACAGGTGAAGGAGGGGCAGGCCAGGTGAGGGAGGGGCAGGCCAGGTGAAGGAGGGGCAGGCCAGGTGAAGGAGGGGCAGGCCAGGTGAGGGAGGGGCAGGCCAGGTGAAGGAGGGGCAGGACAGGTGAGGGAGGGGCAGGCCAGGTGAGGGGGGCCAGACCTGGTGAGGGAGGGGCAGGCCAGTTAAGGGTGTGGCAGACCAGGTGAGGGTGTGGCAGACCAGGTGAGGGAGGGGCAGGCCAGGTGAGGGAGGGACAGATCAGGTGAGGGAGGGGCAGGCCAGGTGAGGGTATGGCAGAGCAGGAGGTGAAGGGGCTACGGGTCAGAGTTTAGATTAACAGGTAAGAGATGAGACTACTAGGTAAGAGGGTCGGGTATACCAGGTGACAGTATGTACCAGGACGGGGAAGAGACTGGATGGCCCCAGAACTTAGATCTAGTTGGGGACTGACAGAGTGATACATGTTGTGCATGTTGCAGGGTACGGATCCTCCACGAGCAGAAGAAGCAGCAGCAGCGTGACATCAGCACCCTCAGCCAGTCTCGCAACATCCTACAGGACAAGGGGGAGGGGCTTGCTTCAAAGTTGAACTCAGCACAAGAGAACCAGGAAGCATTGCTGAGGAGGTAAGCAGGCATAGTGGCTGGTTTAGGCAGGCATAGTGTCCAGTGTAGGCAGGCATTTTGTCCAGTGTAGACAGGCATTGTGTCCAGTGTAGACAGGCATTGTGTTCAGTGTAGGCAGGCATTGTGTCAAGTGTAGGTAGGCATTGTGTCCAGCATAGGCAGGCATTGTTTTCCATGTAGGCCAGCATTGTGTCCAATGTTGCAGGCATAGTGGCTGGCATGGGAGAGCATATCAGTTTTTATCCCCCGCCACGAAGTGGAAGGGGGATATAGGAATGGGTGCCGGCCGTCACATTTCGTTTCCGGAGCAGATCTTGAAAACCGTACCATATTTCTTCACCAAACTTGGCACATAGACAGATCTAGTGGTGAACTGGTGCCTTTTGATAGTTTTGGATTTTTAAAAAAGTTGTTTTTTGAGTTTCCATGGCAAGGACTTTGATTTAGACTGAAAATGGCGGTAGTCCTCGTTCCCGGAGCAGATCTTGAAAACCGTACCATATTTCTTCGTCATACTTGGCACATAGATAGGTCTAGTGGTGAACTGGTGCCTTTTGATAGTTTGGGATTTTAAAAAACAATATTTTTTTAGTTTCCATGGCAACGACTTTGATTTAGACTGAAAATGGAGGTAGTCCTCGTTTCCGGAGCAGATCTTGAAAACCTTACCATATTTCTTCGTCATACTTGGCACATAGATAGGTCTAGTGGTGAACTGGTGCCTTTTGATAGTTTGGGATTAAAAAAAAAATTATTTTTCGAGTTTCCATGGCAACGACTTTGATTTAGACTGAAAGTGGAGGTAGTCCTCGTTTCCGGAGCAGATCTTGAAAACCGTACCATATTTCTTCACCAAACTTGGCACATAGATAGATCTAGTGGTGAACTGGTGCCTTTTTTAGAGTTTTGGATTTTAAAAAACAATATTTTTTGAGTTTCCATGGCAACAACTTTGATTTAGACTGAAAAGGCCGGACCTCGTTTCCGGAGCGGATCTTGAAAACCGTACCATATTTCTTCACCAAACTTGGCACATAGATAGATCTAGTGGTGAACTGGTGCCTTTTGATAGTTTTGGATTTTTAAAAAAGTTGTTTTTTGAGTTTCCATGGCAACGACTTTGATTTAGACTGAAAATGGCGGTAGTCCTCGTTTCCGGAGCAGATCTTGAAAACCGTACCATATTTCTTCACCAAACTTGGCACATAGATAGATCTAGTGGTGAACTGGTGCCTTTTTTAGAGTTTTGGATTTTTAAAAACAATATTTTTTGAGTTTCCATGGCAACAACTTTGATTTAGACTGAAAATGGAGGTAGTCCTCGTTTCCGGAGCAGATCTTGAAAACCGTACCATATTTCTTCACCAAACTTGGCACATAGACAGATCTAGTGGTGAACTGGTGCCTTTTGATAGTTTTGGATTTTTAAAAAAGTTGTTTTTTGAGTTTCCATGGCAACGACTTTGATTTAGACTGAAAATGGAGGTAGTCCTCGTTTCCGGAGCAGATCTTGAAAACCGTACCATATTTCTTCACCAAACTTGGCACATAGATAGATCTAGTGGTGATCTGGTGCCTTTTTTAGAGTTTTGGATTTTTAAAAACAATATTTTTTGAGTTTCCATGGCAACAACTTTGATTTAGACTGAAAATGGAGGTAGTCCTCGTTTCCGGAGCAGATCTTGAAAACCGTACCATATTTCTTCGTCATACTTGGCACGTAGATAGGTCTAGTGGTGAACTGGTGCCTTTTGATAGTTTGGGATTTAAAAAAAAATTATTTTTCGAGTTTCCATGGCAACGACTTTGATTTAGACTGAAAGTGGAGGTAGTCCTCGTTTCTGGAGCAGATCTTGAAAACCGTACCATATTTCTTCACCAAACTTGGCACATTGATAGGTCTAGTGGTGAACTGGTGCCTTTGGATAGTTTTGGATTTTTTTTTAAAGTTATTTTTTTAGTTTCCATGGCAACGACTTTGATTTAGACTGAAAATGGTGGTAGTCCTCGTTTCCGGAGCAGATCTTGAAAACCGTACCATATTTCTTCACCAAGCTTGGCACATAGATAGGTCTAGTGGTGAACTGGTGCCTTTTGAGAGTTTTGGATTTTTAAAAACAATATTTTTTGAGTTTCCATGGCAACAACTTTGATTTAGACTGAAAATGGCGGTAGTCCTCGTTTCCGGAGCAGATCTTGAAAACCGTACCATATTTCTTCACCAAACTTGGCACATAGACAGATCTAGTGGTGAACTGGTGCCTTTTGATAGTTTTGGATTTTTAAAAAAGTTGTTTTTTGAGTTTCCATGGCAACGACTTTGATTTAGACTGAAAATGGAGGTAGTCCTCGTTTCCGGAGCAGATCTTGAAAACCGTACCATATTTCTTCGTCATACTTGGCACGTAGATAGGTCTAGTGGTGAACTGGTGCCTTTTGATAGTTTGGGATTTAAAAAAAAATTATTTTTCGAGTTTCCATGGCAACAACTTTGATTTAGACTGAAAGTGGAGGTAGTCCTCGTTTCCGGAGCAGATCTTGAAAACCGTACCATATTTCTTCACCAAACTTGGCACATTGATAGGTCTAGTGGTGAACTGGTGCCTTTTTAGAGTTTGGGATTTTTAAAAACAATATTTTTCGAGTTTCCATGGCAACAACTTTGATTTAGACTGAAAGTGGAGGTAGTCCTCGTTTCCGGAGCAGATCTTGAAAACCGTACCATATTTCTTCACCAAACTTGGCACATTGATAGGTCTAGTGGTGAACTGGTGCCTTTTGATAGTTTGGGATTTTTAAAAACAATATTTTTTTAGTTTCCATGGCAACGACTTTGATTTAGACTGAAAATGGAGGTAGTCCTCGTTTCTGGAGCAGATCTTGAAAAACGTAGTATATTTCTTTACAAAAAGGCCCAGTGAACATAGTTCACAGGAGCTAATGCATTGCACACACCCGACATGTCATATTGGCGGGGGATGTGAGTATTTCATGCATGTTGGTTTTAGCAAACGTGCAGTGTAACATTTTGGCAGCAATAACAGTGTTTCAGTTTTTGTTTTCCCAATTGTCATGAACATCCTGGTTGAACTTCATGCCTGATCTGAACTGATATACCGCCATCATATACAGAGCAAGGTGCTTGTTAATTCATCCATTGTATATGTCAGAGTTTTGTAATCCCCTCCACAGACTGGATCAAATCATGAGGAAGATTCAGTCACGGGTGCCGATGTTATCTGATGCTGAGAAACACATGCTGAGAGAATTGAAGACAATCAAGGGAAACCTGGACACGTTTGCTAAGAAGCTCCAGCAGGTAAGACATCCATGACTTGAACCACATTTGCCTCTCTTCCCACATCAAGCTGATACCATGTGATCTTACTGAACTACAGGGCCCACTTGCACAGAGCTATCTTAGCGCTAAGACTAATGTAAGCCTATGTTAAAGTATGGGCAGTTACGATCATCTTAGCGCAAAGATCGCTTTGTGTAAGTGGCCCAGGTCAAGGGAGTGTTAAAGCCAGACGCGCTCACTTGACTCCTGTGTATTGTTCCCAGGTGAAGATCAAGCAGGACTTCCAGGCACGGACTGCTGCAGGAGACCGGCAAGGCCCAGGGAGTCCAGCCATACAAAAGGGTCAGATCAATCAACTGCGAGGCATTCTCACACAGGAGTAAGTAACAGTTACTTCCCTTACATCACACATGGACAAGCTCCTTCCCAGCGTGTGACACCTTCGTTACACTCTCAGTAACATCGCTGCCACCAGTGTGGGCGTGGCCATTACAAGAATCTTGAAGTTTGCCCTCTGACCCCAATTGTAGTAACGTTCAGTACTTTTATTTATGTCTTTGGGAATGCCGTCATATTTCATTTTGGAAAGGGTTACGACTGACCATGTTTTCCAGATGAATTTACTTTGTTGTTTGTATAATTAGATTGGTTCGAGATTGCAGACTAACGGAAAATCAACCAACTCCTCCCTTATATACTTACTACTGTATATCAATTACATGATAGGTTTAATGAAACAGAAATTCAAATTGACAAGCAGAGAAAGTAATTTACCTGCGGTAAGCGTATTCAGCTTCACGACAGTCGTCACTTGATTGTAAACATAACGGTCATTCAGCTCCAAGCATGGTTGTGGTCACCTGTCACAGTGGGGAGTTTTGACTGGTGGCAGCAATAGTACAGAGAGGTATCGCTGCGAGGAGCTTGACTCATGGAATGTCTTGATTGCAACAGAGAAATCACAACCAGGTTTCATTTTGTTTTCTGTTTGACTGTTGGAGTATGTCATTAATATCTACATCTCGTCTGGCTTCCTGTAGTATTTTGTAAGTGGAATAAAGGAATTTCTATTTTGGATGTTGTCAGTGACCATTGAAGTGCTGGTGTTACTTCTCCCTCTTTTGCTTTGAGGTGTGAATCATTAAGTAGATTCAGTCTGTGCTTAACAGAAAAATAAAAAATAACTACTGTTAAACACAGATGTATCATAGGTGAAAAGAGGGTGCCACAACAATCACACTGTTTACTGGCAGGGCATGTGCAGTGTACACACAGCCTGTCATCCACATATGGATGTGTGTGTGTACGAGGCAATCTCATTAACATCAGATCTTAGTTCTCTCCACCGCTAAACAAAGATCTGAGGACATCCCATTACTGGTCACGTCAGACCGACCTTGCGCGAACTTTGACTGACCAATGGAATGACCAATCAGAAGGCAGCTTTCTTGTGCTTTATGGCACTATTTTTAATTTGGCGTCAACGCTTCGAAACATATTTTGACAAATTCTCGATTAAAAGTTTGAAACCTGAACAAAAGAACATTCTGGAATCGCTAATTGATGGTCTAGATTGTATGGATTCAGTTGTTAAACCCGTAACTATCGTTCGGACTACCCCATGTTAATGTTTTCGAGGATGCATGATAAGAAATCACATTCCGACTGTCACTTTCATGATCTGGTAAGCGACGCTCTGATTGGTCGGATGAAAGGTCGTTCTTACGTGACCTCTACTCGGATGTCCTCAGATCTTTGTTTAGCAGTAGCGAGAACTAAGGTCTGATTTAAATGAGATTGGTGTACAAGGAGACATATTCATTGGTCCCACCTTTGTCCTCCTTTGATTGATCTTCTCAGTAGACCTGCAGAATGAATCAGGAATTCCTCTTATTAACCCCTGCAACTCTTTTTCCAGGACACTGTCCATCGGTCTATAGGTCTATCGGTCCATCCAAAGCTGATCATGAAAACCATAGAATATTTCTTCACCAAACTTGTACATACGTCCCATTAATCCGACATGTTTGGTTGCAAATAGTTATGTCGAATAAACGAAACTAAATAGTATCAGCGTTCATGATCGAAAATCGGACAACAACAGGATAGATAACGATACAAACACGTTATAAAAATGTATGAAATATTCATATTGTTACATTGTTAATGGAATGCGTTTTCTAATCATGCAGACTCTAAAGCTTAACACGAAACTACGGTTATGGGCTGTGTAATTGATTCAAAATATTTTGAAAAGCGTCTGGAATGGAAGACGCCAGTTTGAAACTAGTGCCACAAAGCTCAAGAAGGCTGCTTTCTGATTGTCTAATGTCGACTTCCTGTTAGTTTTTCATTGGTCGGTCAAATTTCGCGAAAGGTCGCGATAGCGAGAATTTTAATGAGACTGAGGTAATCTAACCATGATTGTGATAAATATTCTTTTGTTTATTAATAGCTTAATTGTTCATTGTTAAGTATGTTTATCTCTATAACCGTTGTAATATGCAGCTTCCAGCCGGCTCTTCTTGCATCAATACATGGGGCTGAGTACTCGCAGATGACCATGGAGTACGCTGATGACTGTGTCGGATTAACGAGAATGATTAATGAGTGATTTCAGTAATTCGTTGAAAATTAGGTGTCTTGGAGCCGGAGTGAGAGAATGTCGAATTAACGGGTCTAAATAGCACTGATTTAATCGGTTCCCATAATTAGTGTCAGATAAAGCCGATTGTCGGATTAACAAGTGTTGGATTAATGAGACTTGACTGTAGATAGGTCTAGTGGTGAACTTGTGCCTTTTGACAGTTTTCGGATATCTTAATACAAATATGTTTCAAGTTTTGATGGCAGCATGTTTTATTTATTTATCCATGACAAGTATTTGCGATTGCGGGGTATATCGATGACTTTGTCCTCTTGTTGATCATTTGGTTACATTGTACATGGTGTAAATTACTTGTGCCATGAACATTCAAGCGCTGTATCATTATTGGAGTCAATAAGCATATGAAATGTGTATGGTTGATTTGTGTAACAGTGTATACTTGTTGCTTTTCATTTTTGAGAACCTCCTAATCCAAATGGGTCTATGGGTGGCTCAGTTGTCTAGAAGCCGCAATTTGCTGTACAGAGTTGTGTCCCTTCGTTTCATCAGTCTTGAATCCTAGTTATGTTTCTGAGCACCATACCCAAACTCAAGCTCATGGGTTTCACCAAAGTAGTAAATGTCTGAGACCTGCATCACTTCGGGCTGACATGACGTGATAGAACGGGAAAACTGTTCAAAGCAACGTTAAAGCCAACTCACTCACTCTCTCTCTTTCTCTCTCACTCACTCACTCACTCACTCACTCACTCACTCACAATCCAAATTACTTCGCTGTGGAACTTGGGGCCACACATATCCACTATTGATGTCTAGCTTGTCATTGTGTGTTGTCAATCGGCCCATAGACAAATGCAATGTAGGGTTCCTTACACTTTCAATCTATTGCCATTGAGTCATAGACAATTGATGTAAATAGACAATTTGGTCAATTGTTACTTCTATCGGTAAAGTGCCTTTGGATCGTAGTCAATTTCTATGGATAGAAGGTTGGATGAGTCGTTACCCCCACAGTTAGTATTCGTGAGATGCGTGAAGATCCGGTGTAGAAAAGGTCTTCAGCAACCCATGCTTGCCATAAAAAGGCGTCTATGCTTGTTGTAAGAAGCGACTAACAGGATCAGGTGGTCAGGCTCGCTGACTTGGTTGATGCATGGCATCGTGTCCTAATTCAAGATCGATGCTTATGATGTCAGTCACTGGATTGTCTGGTCCAGACTCGGTTATTTACAGACTGCTGTCATATAGCTGGAATATTGCTGAGTGCGGTGTTAAACAACAAACTACAACAACTACATAGTATTCATGACACCACTGCTTCTGTTGCAGGGGAGAGGAGATTGCCGACCTCATGAAGAAAGTCACGCAGCTCAAGATGGAGACGAACAGCTGAAGTAGAAATACTGACATGGAAACAAGTCAAGGAAAAGTACAAGGCTCGGACAAGACTGTCTGACTACACAACAATGAAGGCTGCAGGCTAACTGTGACAGTTGGATCAGTGATCATAGTGTTGCCTACCATGGTTGACGCAACAAGTGACAAAACGGCCATGAACACTGGCATCCCTGACGCATTGTGGGCTGTCTGAATATGTGACGTAGCTTCATAGAATGTGAACCAAATTGCATCAGCTTAGGAAGTTTTAAAGTTTTCTGGAAGATGACATTGTCTCATACATGGAGTTTTTAATTGGAATGTTCACAGAACCTCCCTGTTCAAGGAGATTATCGGGCAGTGTGACACTCTGAGGTCAGCAGTGTGTCATCATGATGGCCGTCACCGATGGGACTCCATGTTCCTGGCCGCTACCGACGACGCTGCAAGCTGTACTGTGATTGTTACACTGACGTGTTTCACAACTTTGTATATAGTGAGGAAATACACCTTGTATAATGAAATGTGTCACTGTTGTCTCTCAGTAAACAGATTGATTTAACTTAGAGAGTATTTCTATGTTGTTACTCTGTATCAATGTAATGTCACCGACAGACGATTTTATACTAAAACATTCATATAGGCAATGTGATACATGCATGCACACCACACACACACACACCACTCGCGCACACCACACTCACACACACACCTAACACCACACACACACCACTCACGCCATGCAAAATACACACCACACTCATCTCTCTCTGTGGACTAGTGGTGTGTCATACCAAAAGACATTAAAAGATGGTAGTTGTTGTTACCCTGTCTGGCGCTCGGCATTAAGGGGCTAAAACAAGGACTGGTCGGCTCGGAGTCAGTATTCTGTGTCAGACTTGGGTATTCATCTTTAACTGCGGCATGGTATCCCAGTGGGCAAGCACTCCGGACTAGTACAAGCAGCCACACACACACACAACACACTACATGCACGTCGCTACATAAGTGCAATTATATTGGATGCAACGTTAAACCCCATCTCACCTCACCTCACCTCACCTCACCTCTCCTCTCCTCACCTCACCTCACCTCACCACACACCACACTCACACACACACCTGTTCTGGATGGCCTGTGATATCAGAAACGCCAGAAATGATCCAGAAGATCCAGGATATGGTGATGGCCAACTGGTGAATGACTCAGCATCATATTGCTAGTTCAGTAGATATTACCCAAAAGAGAGTACCTTCCATTTTCACTGAAACTTAGCAAATGAAGAAAGTAACATCTCATTGAGTTCCCACGATTGGGCCCTCTGATGAAAAAAAAGCATGTGTCTTGAAAATCTAGCTCTGTTTGAAGCTGATCCAGAAAGGTTTTGCAACGATTTGTGATTAGATGAAACTGGGTTCACCACTCAAACAGCATTCAAAACAGGGGATTATGTTGACAAATAAATGAGTTTTTCTTTAGGTCAAGTCTTTCTGTAAGGCTCAGAACTCATCAATCTCCACTGTAAATATTGCTGAGGTCCTGGTACAGCAATAAGGCCTGGTTTCACTCACTCACTCGATGTAGAACGGAACACAATGTTGTGTTGTGGTGTAGAACACAACGTGTTATAGATGTAAATCATTGTGATACGGATGTAGAACACGTTGTTACCTGTGTAAAGCAATTTTTTACAATGTTGTGTAGGCAGTGTTGTGTTAGGGGTGTAGTATGTCAATGATGTAAGGATACAATCAGCATGTGGGGTTGGGGGTGGTCCACTTGGGCCATTTGTACTTCAGTTGTGTGTTTGTGGTGGGGGGGGTCCACCCAAAAAACACGCGTACGTACGTACACACACACACACACACACATACACACACACATACACATACACACACACACACACACTAATGGATCTGTTGATCGTGGGTTCGAATCTAATCCCAAATTGGCGACAGTTATGACCCTGTGACTGTCATCACCATATACAGTGTTGATGGGTTTCAACACAGCACTAACGCCTAAGGCCTGCCTCACATTGGCCCAACCTCCCACGACGCTGACACTCACACACTCACACACGCTCACACTCATTCACACACACGCTGACACACACTGACACAATGATCAAATCTAACCAACTCACTAGTCAGTGAACGTACAACCAAAGCGACAAAACCCTTTTTATATTCAGAAAAAAGTTCTTCTGAAAGCAGAGTCGACTAAGATCCCGACTATATCAGGACCTTTTTTAGAAACAGGTGATTTCAACAAAGATCGGGGCCTTTGTTAGAGACAGATGATTCAACAAAGATCGGGGCCTTTGTTAGAGACAGATGATTCAACAAAGATCGGGGCCTTGGTTAGAGACAGATGATTCAACAAAGATCGGGACCTTTTTTAGAAACAGGTGATTTCAACAAAGATCGGGGCCTTTGTTAGAGACAGATGACTCAACAAAGATCGGGACTTTTTTTAGAAACAGGTGATTTCAACAAAGATCGGGGCCTTTTTTAGAAACAGGTGATTTCAACAAAGATCGGGGCCTTTGTTAGAGACAGATGATTCAACAAAGATCGGGGCCTTGGTTAGAGACAGATGATTCAACAAAGATCGGGGCCTTTGTTAGAGACAGATGATTCAACAAAGATCGGGGCCTTGGTTAGAGACAGATGATTCAACAAAGATCGGGACCTTTTTTAGAAACAGGTGATTTCAACAAAGATCGGGGCCTTTGTTAGAGACAGATGACTCAACAAAGATCAGGACCTTTTTTAGAAACAGGTGATTTCAACAAAGATCGGGGCCTTCGTTAGAGACAGATGATTCAACAAAGATCGGGGCCTTTGTTAGAGACAGATGATTCAACAAAGATCGGGGCCTTGGTTAGAGACAGATGATTCAACAAAGATCGGGACCTTTTTTAGAAACAGGTGATTTCAACAAAGATCGGGGCCTTTGTTAGAGACAGATGACTCAACAAAGATCGGGACTTTTTTTAGAAACAGGTGATTTCAACAAAGATCGGGGCCTTTTTTAGAAACAGGTGATTTCAACAAAGATCGGGGCCTTTGTTAGAAACAGATGATTCTAACAAAGATCGGGGCCTTTGTTAGAGACAGATGATTTAACAAAAATCGGGGCCTTTGTTAGAGACAGATGATTCAACAAAGATCGGGGCCTTTGTTAGAGACAGATGATTCAACAAAGATCGGGGCCTTGGTTAGAGACAGATGATTCAACAAAGATCGGGACCTTTTTTAGAAACAGGTGATTTCAACAAAGATCGGGGCCTTGGTTAGAGACAGGTGACTCAACAAAGATCGGGACCTTTTTTAGAGACAGATGATTCAAACCAAGATCGGGACCTTTTTTAGAAACAGGTGATTTCAACAAAGATCGGGGCCTTGGTTAGAGACAGATGATTCAACAAAGATCGGGACCTTTTTTAGAAACAGGTGATTTCAACAAAGATCGGGGCCTTGGTTAGAGACAGATAATCAACAAAGATCGGGACCTTTTTTAGAGACAGATGATTCAAACCAAGATTCTATGAAAGGCGGACCTGAACTTTTCTTCAGGACATCCGCCATGTCCAGCTCACACAATGTGTTTGTTAAAGTTATTTTATCCGGCATCGTCTGGATAGTTTTCGTTTCGTAAACAAATCCCATATATACTGACACACAATGTAAAGACATCAAACTGACCCGAGGTCAGAAAAAATGTGTTTTCGTGCTCAAGTATGACATTATTCAGTTTGATTATCCCATCCCTAAATACCCCAAATAACTTAATTTCAGTTTTGCCATTGGGGCCATTCTGTCAAATATTACAAATGTGGAATATGAGCTTTCAAAGTGTTCCATAAACAACCTCTCTTCTCCAAGTGCAACTACCGGTCGACGCGACCTGACTCTTTTTTCGATTTATGGAAACAAACGCAAACAAACTCGAATAGCCAATCAATTGCCAACGAAGCACTTGCATTTTTTGATTGGGCTAAACAATTAAGTTATTTTGCGTTATTTTTCCACCGAAAAATTAGGCTACGCCCTTTAACGGATTGTTTCCAGACTGAAGTCAGTAATATTCTTGGTGATGGTGATTTCAGTACCCCTGGGGCTGTAGTGTTGTAAGATGTAGTTTAAATGCGACTTGATGTTGGGGCCATGTCTCTTTCTGTCGGTTATCGACAAACATTCGAGCGCAAAATAACTTGTTCCTGTTTCAAAGCTATACACTCGGCTAAAGCTACTTTCTTATGAGATTGAAGCGAGGCGAGGCGACTCCAGTTTTAATCGAATATCGCAAAATATGACGCCATAGAAGGGCGTTTGTTTATGACGTCATTACCTTGTGTACACTGTGACGTCGTGTTACCATAGCATCACAAGTAACAGCCACAGCCTCTTCATCCACACACGGGTATGTAGCGTACATATTATTCGCTGTTTATGTTAAAAAGACGTTATTATCTTTTTCTAGCAAATAAAACACAACTGACAATTTAATTAACTCAATTCATGATCAAATGTTGCTGTGTTCGTATGCTTGTAGAAAATTCATACTTGCTCTAAATGCCGAATACCAAAGATCCTGAAAACATTTTATCGATATCGTTGGTGTGCTTTTGTCTTTAGGTGCAGATATATTCACTATACATTTGATGAAACTGATCATACCCTCCAATGAGAAGCACTAAATCTAGCACTTACAATTTTAATGTGAACTTTGTTATATATGTCACTGTTTTCGCCTTAAACTGACATGGCACCCAACTCAAGGGACGCTCGCACTTTTCGAATTAACTTCATGCTTATATAAAGGTATGAGACCCATATTACATGAAAATAAATATGTGTACATACGTGAGGCAACTTTAAATTCAATTTAAATATTTAGCAAAAGTACAATTTGCAATGTACACAATCTTTTATGTACACAGTTGGTAAGGTTGTGTTTGTTTGTTTGTTGTTTACGCCGCACTCAGCAATATTCCAGCTACAGACGGCGGTCTGTAAATAATCAAGTCTGGACCAGACAATACAGTGATTGATATCGTGAACATCGATCCACGCAATTGGGATACGATGACATGCATCAACCCAGTCACTGTGTCTGACCACCTGATCCCGTTAGTCGCCCCTTACGACAAGCATAGTCATTACGGCAAGCATGGGTTGCTGAAGACCTATTCTAACCCAGATCTTCACGGGTCAGTTGGTAACGTAGCATAGTTTTAACTAACGAATCACTGAATATCTCTCTCACATCATCATATAAAGGGTAGTTGAATATGACACGATTTTCATCTTCAAGAGCATAACATTCTATTCAAAAAGCGTCAGCATCACGTGACGTGCATATTCCTCTGCGAATATTTTGTATTCCAAATAAGTTAAACCCACTGCGAATTTTAAGTTAGGCTTTTATCTGTAATGTAACACTAAAAACATTCTAAAAGAGATTTAAAAGAGGCATAGATTTGAAGAACTGTTTTATACTAAGAATGCCAAGCTTCCAATAAAACTCTTTGTTTGAACACATTTAAAAAAGGCCCCATGACCATCCTCTCGTGATGCTTTGCCAAAGCATACCTAAAAAGTACATCTCTTACATGAGTACACAACTTGGGATGCTCGCACTAATGTCGTGATTTACGGCAAAGGAAAATAACAACTCGGAACAAACCCATGAAGCTAAAAACATGTAGGGCCGAACATGAATCTTAATCTTAATGAGTGAGTGAGTGAGTGAGTGAGTGAGTTGGGTGAGTGAGTTGGGTTTAACGCCGCTTTTAACAGTATTCCAGTTATATCAAGGCGTGTCAGCTTAATGTGGGAGGAAAGCCCGAAGTGATGCAGGTCTCAGACGTTTACCACTTCGGTGAAACCCACGAGCACAGGTATGGTGCTGACAAACCTAGAAACATAATCGGGGCGAACCGGGATTCAAACCCACAATCATAGGTTTCTTGCGTGCCCAAGGGACGCAACTCTGCACAGCGAATCGCGGTGCCTTAGACGACTGGGCCACCCGTGCCCCCAAACCCGTTATGAATTGGTAAGTAATATTATTATTTAAGATATGAATATTTGACAGCAGTTCATGGACATGAAATATGACATTGATAGCTTCAAATGAAGCGATATTCGAAATGCCAAGTTCAATAAACAGCAACGCTTATATTACTTTCTGATGAATGTCCGGGACATATACAAATCAACCGGTGGGAATACGAGTTAGAATAGGTCCTATGAGGTTTTGGTTGTAAGAGGTGACCTAATGACGGGTGGTCAGGCTCGGTGATTTGGTTGCCCAAAATATTAATCACTGAATTGTCTCGTCCAGACCCCATTATTTACAAGCCGTCGTGCTAAAGCTTGAATATTGCGGCGGCGTTTGTTTGGCAATAAACAACAAACAAACATATTATATTATACTGCACGTGAGTGATAACCATGATGTCATACATACAGGGTCGAAAAAACCCCGGCGGATATTACCACATGTATATTGTCAGCCAATCCGGAGTCCGCTAGCGGGCGTGGCCTATCTTTTTCTGTTAATGGGGACATAAACGCAAATTATATGCCACGGAATCCTTGCAATTAATGTATATGCTGTAAGCCACTGGTCTACCTGACCGAGGCGTTATAATTAACAGGCCGCCGTGACAATGCGACGCAAAACAGTATTCACTCACTCACCCCCTGTTCCTCCGCAGGCCGCTTGAGTTGTAAGGATGCCGCGGGGACTTGGGGAACGCCACAACGCAGTGGAGGACCTTGGGGAGGAGGGAGGACAGAGGCAGGAGCTGGCCAGGCTGCAGCGACAACTCCGGCTGCTGGAGGGGGACAGGCGCGCGTACACCGATGAGGCATGCAGCGTCCGTATGCAACAAGAGTAGGTGGAATGAGAAGAGAGTACTGTGGAGGAAGATGCTCGGTGGGCAGTGAGGAAAGAGTATCAGGGAGGAAGGTGTTCGGTGGGCTGTGAGGAAAGAGTATCAGGGAGGAAGGTGCTCGGTGGGCAATTAGGAAAGAGTATCGGGGAGGAAGGTGTTCGGTTGGCAGTGAGGAAAGAGTATCAGGGAGGAAGGTGCTCGGTGGGCATTGAGGAAAGAGTATCAGGGAGGAAGGTGCTCGGTGGGCAGTGAGGAAAGAGTATCAGGGAGGAAGGTGTTCGGTGGGCAATGAGGAAAGAGTATCAGGGAGGACGGTGCTCGGTGGGCAGTGAGGAAAGAGTATCAGGGAGGAAGGTGTTCGGTGGGCAATGAGGAAAGAGTATCAGGGAGGACGGTGCTCGGTGGGCAGTGAGGAAAGAGTATCAGGGAGGAAGGTGCTCGGTGGGCAGTGAGGAAAGAGTATCGGGGAGGAGGGTGTTCGGTTGGCAGTGAGGAAAGAGTATCAGGGAGGAAGGTGCTCGGTGGGCAGTGAGGAAAGAGTATCAGGGAGGAAGGTGTTCGGTGGGCAATGAGGAAAGAGTATCAGGGAGGACGGTGCTCGGTGGGCAGTGAGGAAAGAGATTCAGGGAGGAAGGTGTTCGGTGGGCAATGAGGAAAGAGTATCAGGGAGGAGGGTGTTCGGTGGGCAGTGAGGAAAGAGTATCAGGGAGGAAGGTGCTCGGTGGGCAATGAGGAAAGAGATTCAGGGAGGAAGGTGCTCGGCGGGCATTGAGGAAAGAGTATCAGGGAGGAAGCTGCTCGGCGGGCATTGAGGAAAGAGTATCAGGGAGGAAGGTGCTCGTGGGCATTGAGGAAAGAGTATCAGGGAGGAAGGTGCTCGGTTGGCATTGAGGCAGTACCGCATAGAGGAACATAGTTGCCTCGCGGTATTGTGGATGTCTGAAGTGTATTGGGGCCATGCCATCTACACCCAAAAGAGGGGGCACGGGTGGCCCAGTCGTCTAAGGCGCCGCGATTCGCTGTGCAAAGTTGTGTCCTTTGGGCACGCCAGAAAATGATTGTGGGTTTCATTCCCGAAACGCCCCGATTATATTTCAAGCTTTGTCAGAACCATTTGTCGTGGGTTTCACCGAGGTGGTAAACATATGAGACCTGCATCACTTTGGGCTTTCCTCCCACATTAAACTTACACGCCGCGATATAACTGTAATACTGTTAAAAGCGGGGTTAAACCAAACTCACTCACACCAAGAAGCCTCAATGTATTTCTGATTAACTCAGGCACCTTTGAAAGAGTGTTCAATGTTCACCGGAAGGGACGTCCTATGAAGGGTTTGTCAGGGGTGTGACTTTAAATAAGGTCATTATTTAATGATTGTGGTGAGGTAAATATCCATTTCCGTTGTGAGACTTTGGGGGCATTTATAAGGGAGTTAATTAGGAAAGGACCATTACAACATATGACATGCTCCGAGAAAGAGTATTGGTGCAGAACATGTTTTAGTTAGAGCCCGGGCAAGGACTTTATGAAAGATACAATTTTTGAGAGAGTCTTGAAACATCGATGGTTATTCCACTGTTAACTATATATGTGACATGTTCTCAAAACTGAATTACTTTTGGTACTCATGCATTATACCGGACTCCAAGCCGCCATGTTTGTTTGATGCTACCAAAGACGTATATACGTCTTTGATGCTACTAATAAAGTGTTTTGTATCTACTTTGGTAATTAAACATTTCATTTACTTACGAAAGCATTTAATTCAGGCCGTTGAGTGGGGGGCAAGCTCCCCAACACCCCTGTTGGGGCGGGGCGAGGCGAGGCGGCAAAAATGGCGTCTAAAAAACATAGAAACCGTTACTAAGGAATAAGCTCGCGCACATCCCTTACCAAAACGTCGGAAGTTGTCCGGTATACTGCATTCTTGTGACGTCTCATGTGGGTCACGTGACAAGAATATGTCTGTGTCTGCGCAGGTCCGTGATCCGTACCTTGGAGCAGGAGAACAGCGAGATCAGTACAGTTCTTCGTCTGTCCCAGAGCGACAAGAACGAATTGAAGGATGAGGACAACACAACGTGCCTGCAGAACCTGACTGAGGAGGTGGACGCCCTCAACGCACAGAGCGACATGGAGCGCAGCAAGATCACCCAGCTACAGGCAGAGGTGTTTGTTCGTTCGTTTGTTTGTTTGTTTGTTTGTTTGTTTTTAAACGCCGCATTCAGCAATTTTCCAGCTATTTGACGGCAATTTGTAAATAATCGAGTCTTTACGAGACAAATCAGTGATTAACATCATGAGCATCGATCTACTCAAATGGGATATGATGAGTTACGACAGTGAAGGTGTAAAGTGCGGGTGTAAGTTGGGTGTGGGCGGGACATGACTTGGTTGAGCTAGCGACAGAGTAGATGTCACTTTGGTGTGGGCGGGTCTTGGCTTGGTTGAGCTAGCGACAGAGTAGATGTAACTTTGGTGTTGGCGGGTCTTGGCTTGATTGAGCTTGCGACAGAGTAGATGTAACTTGTGTGTTGGCGGGTCTTGGCTTGGTTGAGCTAGCGACAGAGTAGATGTCACTTGGGTGTGGGCGGGTCTTGGCTTGGTTGAGCTAGCGACAGAGTAGATGTCACTTGGATGTGGGAGGGGCTTAGCTTGGTTGAGCTAGCGACAGAGTAGATATAACTAGGGTATGGGCGGTTCTTGGCTTGACTGAGCTAGCGACAGAGTAGATGTAACTTTGGTGTGGGCGGGTCTTGGCTTGGTTGAGCTAGCGACAGAGTAGATGTCACTTGGGTGTGGGCGGGTCTTGGCTTGGTTGAGCTAGCGACAGAGTAGATGTCACTTGGATGTGGGAGGGGCTTAGCTTGGTTGAGCTAGCGACAGAGTAGATATAACTAGGGTATGGGCGGTTCTTGGCTTGACTGAGCTAGCGACAGAGTAGATGTAACTTTGGTGTGGGCGGGTCTTGGCTTGATTGAGCTAGCGACAGAGTAGATGTAACTTTGGTGTGGGCGGGTCTTGGCTTGATTGAGCTAGCGACAGAGTAGATGTAACTTGGGTGTGGACGGGTCTTGGCTTGGTTGAGCTAGCGACAGAGTAGATTTAGCGTGAGTGTGGGCGGTTCTTGGCTTGACTGAGCTAGCAACAGTTGAGATGTAACTTGGATGTGGGCGGGTCTTGGCTTGGTTGACCTAGTGACAGAGTAGATTTAACGTGAGTGTGGGCGGGTCTTGGCTTGGTTGAGCTTGCGACAGAGTAGATGTAACTTGGGTGGGGGCGGGTCTTGGCTTGATTGAGCTAGCGACAGAGTAGATGTAAGTCGTGTGTGGGCGGGTCTTGGCTTGGTCGAGCTAGTGACATAGTAGATGCCGATTTATAGTACTAGCTCATTGAGATGCCATGCCACAGTTTAACGTGAATACCCCCACTCAGACACAGTATACAGACAGGCTAACAACAAGTACCATCTTTTAACGTCTTTTGGTATGACGCGACCGGGGATCAAACCCCGGACCTTCCACTCTCCTGGCGGACCCTCTGCCACTAGACCACGGATGCGGTCTGTAATTTGGGTGTGGGCGGGTCTTGGCTTGGTTGAGCTATCGAGAGAGGAACTTCAGTGGACGAGACCTGATGAAGAGAAGGGGGCAGTTGGGAGGTATGAAGTTCAGGGTGCCGTTGTACAATGCGATCTTAGCGCTTAGGTGGTCGTAACTCCCATACCTTAACATAGACTTACGACAGTCGTAGCGCTAAGGTTGTATTGTACAACGACACCCAGGATTATGCATTTTTGTTGCCAGATTGCGCGAGTTGAGAAAGACATCTGTCAACAGAGGAGACTCAATGGCAGCAATTCGGGAGCCATAATGGAGAAGTTGATACTGAAAAGGACAAAGGTCATAGAGAATAGACACGACAAGGTTAGTCAGTGGTCAGGGCCTGTGTCATACAGATTACTACACGAGCGTCTGTCAGATACCAGTTATCTTACAATGACTTGTTTCAAAACGTATACAGACGTGGGTGAATTCGACTGAAGCACGTGAAACCACTCTCCTACCCAGAGTTCCATGCGACCAGCATAGTACCTCTGCCACAGGCCAGCGCCATGTGACGATTCGTCACATCTGAGACAGTCCATTCAAGATATTGCATGTTTTTCATCTGTTTCATTTTTGACAAGTCTATATATCTAGATAAACATATGTCATATTGTGGTTTCATTGAGAAAATATCCTAAATCGTGAAAAACTATTTCCATTAGCGTAGTTATCCTATGTTTACATTGGTTGTACGGCTCCACGTGCTGTCATCGAAGCCCTACGGAGAGCTAGCGATACGGTCACTTTGATGCGTAAATATGTATTGTCATGCTTCTCACTGCTGCAGTTGTAGTAGCATATTTAAATAATCGTGCAAAACGATATGTAAAGTGCCTCTAAAACCTTGCATTGGTCCGTTTTATTCTGATTTCTGAAAAAGCGCGTTTGTTTGTAAACGAGAGAAAAGCCCGGTCACGTGATATGTAAATTAGCCTGTGGCAGTGGTGTTAGGCCAAATCACCACTCCGCCGGAGTGCGATGAGAAACGTATCAAAGAATTACAATCAGGAAAGTAGTCCGTCATAACCTCAGGTCATCACCATGGAGCAGCCAATCACGGCCCTGTAATTCTCCCTCACACATATGTTTGATACTAGTTATCTCAAATTGGCTTCTCACCCACAGGTGTGCAACTCACGTCATGAGACAGTCCCGTGCAATGTTACTTAAAACTTGACTTCAATATTTTTTGCCTTTATGAACACCGGATTTACGTTGATACCCCTACAAACGCAAAAATATATTGAAGTCAATTCTTATGAATAAATACGTCAACAATAACTTAACAATAAAAAAGAGCCTACAATACGAAAACAGTGACAATGTTCAGCGCACTGTTGCAACACAAGCCCCGCCCATTCTATAATCAGCCAATCAGGCAACATGAACCATTTGTGGGAGTGGCGTAATGTTTTCTGTTTTGGAAACAAATGCCAAACAGTTTTTTCGCTTAGTTAACCAATCAAATGCAACGGAATCATTTGCAAGTTATTTATTTGCGATCAATTGGAATTGGAGTGGGCAAGTTGGGTTTAACGAGGCTTTAACAGTATTCCAGTTATATCACAGCGCGTTAGCTTCGTGTGGTAGGAAATCCCGAAGTGATGCAGGTTTGGGACGTTTACCTCTTTAGTGAAACCCACGAGCAAGGATAGGTGCTGACAAACCTAGAAGCTATCAGGGCGAACTGGGATTCGAATACTTCAAATGAAGACTTACATGATAGTGTATATGAATGACAATACGTATTTCTAGAACAAATATTATCTCGTGTCGTGTCTCGTGTCAATCACATGACCTTAAAGTGATCCTCAGGCAATGTTTAATATAAGTCAGATACGGCTGGACAGGAGACACCTAATTTGTCCGATGGTCAGAATGTTCTAGGAATCCCTAACAACCAGTCACCATTCACTGCTGGTTTTGACAGTGATCCAATTTACGACACTTTATGATACGCCCTTTTATGTACGTTCCTCTCTGTGTTTGCAACCTCCATCTCTGTTAGGGGGTGCTTGAGTAGCCTAGTGGTTACAGCGTTTGCTCGTGACCCTGAAGATCTGGGTTCGATTCCCCACATCGACACTGTGTAAAGCCTATTTCTGGTGTCCCCCGTCGTGAAATTGCTGGAGTATTGCTAAAAGTCGTGTAAAACCTCACTCACTCACTCACTCGCTCATACACTCATTCATTCACTCACTCACTCACTCACTCACTCACTCACTCACTCACTCACTCACTCACTCACTGGCGGATGCAAACCGGATCCAGTCTTTGATTACGGTAAATATGTCATCATGTTTATCATCAATTACTTATATTTTCGAGTTGTTCCTTAAACGATAATGACTGATGCGCAAAACAATTTGAATAGTAGTTCCGGATAAAATTAGGGCATGCGGTCGCTGCTGAAATCATTGTCGTTGTTTGTTCAATGGCATTCTCAAATGTGTTTTAACACGCACCTTACCCCAGGCAATGGTCAAGTTCAACAACCAGCTGGCGGTGAACACGGGTCTCCGCGAGGAGATTGACCACCTCCGCCAAGACAAGACCGTGTTTGACACCCTCTTCCAGAAGCTCAACACTGATCTGGAGGACATGCGCAAAGACATGTCAGTCATCATCGAAGAGGCATCCCAGGCGTACGAGCAAAGGTACGCATAGGAAACATGGGTAGTTTGTTTGTCTGTTTGTTTAACGCCGCACTCTGCAATGTTATAGCTATATGACAATCTCATTAAAATCAGATCTTAGTTCTCGCTATGGCTAAACAAAGATCTCAGGACACCCCAATACGGGTCACGTCAGAACGACCTTCCATCCGACCAATCAAAGCGTCGCTTACCAGATCATGAAAGTGACAGTTGGAATGTGTTTTCTAATCATGCAACCTCGAAAACGTTAACACGGGGTATTCCGAACGACAGTATCGACCAGTACGACTGATTCCGTCAAAATTATCGCCTATCTCTCGCTTCCGAGGGACAAACATTTGAAAGGAGGAGGCATTGCACAGTACGTGGGAAGTATTGCCATACAATCTCAACCATATATTAGACATTCCGGAATGTTCGTTTGTTCAGTTTTCAAAATTTTAATCGAGAACTCAGTCAACATATTTTTCAAGCGTTGTCTGAAATGGAAGTCGCTAGGTTGAAACGAGTGCCGTAAAGCTCGAGAAAGCTGCATTCCTATTGGCTGATGTCGACTCCTTAATAGTCGTTTCAGTGGTCGGTCAAAGTCCGCTAAAGGTCGTTCTGACGTCACCCGTAATAGGATGTCCTCAGATCTTTGTTTAGCGGCAGCGAGAATTTAGATCTGATTCTAATGAGATTGGCTATGTGGCGGCGGTCTGTAAATAATCGAGTCTGGACCAGACAATCCAGGGATTGACATCATGTGCATCGATCTACACAATTTGAATACGATGACATGCATCAACCAAGTCAGCGAACCTGACCACCCGATCCTGTTAGACACCTTTTACGGCAAGCATTGGTTGCTGAAGACCAATTCTCACCCGGTGAGGTGAGGTGAGGTGAAATTAGGTTTAACGTCGCGTCCAAGACTATTGCACTTATATAGCGACGTGCATGTACGTGTGTGTTTGTTCGTTTGTACTGGTCCGGACTGATGCCGATTTATAGTGCTAGCCCACTGAGATACCATGCCACAATTTAACATAAATACCCCACTCAGACACAGTATAACTGACTCCGAGCCGACCAGTCCTTGTTTTAGCCCCTTAATGCCGAGCGCCAGACAGGGTAACAACAAGTACCATCTTTTAATGTCTTTTGGTATGATGCGACCAGGGATCGAACCCCGGACCTTCCGCTCTCCGGGCGGACGCTCTACCACTAGGCCACGGAGGCGGTCGTTGGATACAAAGGCGTGTTTTATACGGGTATCACAGTTGTGGATGTTTTCAGTGTTTCGGTGACGGTTGTCAGCCTTAGTTTTGAGAACGTTTGTGATATTTTGGTCAAATCCAATTTTCAAGTGCATACTTTCTTTTGCCCGGCAGTTAAGTCGGAATCGTACAACGTTCTATGCTTAATCAGATATTTCTTATGACTATCGAAATGGTTTTGTGGCTTTTCGTTGCAAACTGACTATCATGATGTTGGTTTTCTGCACCAGCTGTTCAGACAATCGCAACAGACATCTGTGAGAAACTCTCTCGCTCACTTCCCAACTCAACACAGTGTTGGTTGGAACCCCAGATTCGCCCTCATGATCCGCCAGTCTCTCTCTCTCTCTCTCTCTCTCTCTCTCTCTCTCTCTCTCTCTCTCTCTAAATCTCACTATCTCTCTCTTTTTCTCTCCCTCTCTCTCTCCCCTCACTCTCTCACTCTCTCTCACTCTCCAGGGACGAGGCGTACAACAAGATGCTGGCGCTGAAGGAGAGGAGCGAGAAGGACACGTCACAGCACGAGATGGAGATGCGCGAGCTGCAGCGCATCATCGAGCACGACAACAAGCTAAAGGAGTTCATGATGATCAAGGCCAACGACCGCGGCGAGTACAAGGAGGAGGAGGACGCCAAGAAGAAGAAGGCCAGTGAGTAGAGGCTGCAGACTTGTTTGTAGACGCTGCAGACTTGTATGTAGATGCTGCAGACTTGTATGTAGATGCTGCAGACCTGTATGTAGATGCTGCAGACTTGTATGTAGATGCTGCAGACTTGTATGTAGATGCTGCAGACTTGTATGTAGAGGCTGCAGAATACACAGTAGATAACTGCAGACTATTTAATAGATCACTACAGACTATATAGCTGGGAGACTGCTGCTGACTATTGGGTAGACTGATGTAGATTCTATAGTGAGCAGACCGATACTGCCTACACAACAGATAGACTGATGCAGATTTTATAGCGGGTAGACGATACCGACAATATGGCAGGGTTATCGGACTTGTATGGATTTGTATGCTACAACCTTGTGTGTTCGGAATGCATAAAAAACTCTATTGTTGTTTATAACTCTTTCTTTGACAATGTTTATTTATTTTGCTTCATTTGTTTGCTTGCTTGTTAAGGTAATTGGAGGCATCGTTTTCATGTTGTTATAAGAGACTGCGTGACTACGTCAGCCCAAACGCCTTTCGTTGCTTGCAGTGAAGGGGGAGCGCGACGTTGACGTCGAGAACAACCAGATCTTGACGTACGAGGAGGCATTCGCCGAGATCAGGGAAGCCACGGGCGAGGATGACATCGTCAGGATCATGACCGACTTCCTGCGGCGGGAGGACGAGAACTTCGCCCTCTACAACTACGTCAACGAGCTGAACGACGAGGTGGACAAGCTCCAGGAAGAGATCGGATTCATGAAATCGGAGATCGCCCGGTTCGAGGAGGAGGATGTTCAGATGGAGTCGGAGAGGAAAGTTTGGCTGAAGGAGTTGGAGGTGAGGGGGTCGGGGAGTGTTTGTTTGTTTGGGCAACTTGAGGCAACTTGCCCCCTCAATGGTAGAAATTCAATTTAAATATTTAGCAAAAGTACAATTTGCAATGTACACAATCTTTAATGTACACAGTTGGTAAGGTTGTGTTTGTTTGTTTGTTTGTTGTTTACGCCGCACTCAGCAGTATTCCAGCTACAGACGGCGGTCTGTAAATAATCAAGTCTGGACCAGACAATCCAGTGACTGACATCATAAGCATCGATCCACGCAATAGGACACGATGCCATGCATCAACCAAGTCAGCGAGCCTGACCACCCGATCCCGTTAGTCGCCTCTTACGACAAGCATAGTCACCTCTTCCGGCGTAACTGAAGACATATTCTACCTCGGATCTACACAAGGGACCCACATTCACAATATTTTTTTTCCATTTTCCTCGAAAATGTAAACAACACACTGGTGCGCGTGAAGTGATATTTTCACTAGTGCACATATGATTTTTATGAACTCGGTTATTTCTAACCCTGTGAGTAATAAAAAGAATAACCTGCTCGGAATTACCCCAAAGCAGCGACCATATACCGGTATAGTACATGAAGAAAACTTACATAACTCAAGCTTTACATATATAAAAAGGGAAACCCTCGCATGTAAATCTCAAATCTCGCAAGTCTTGGTGAAAGTGCCACCTGGCCACCGGTCTCCAATCTGCCCTGAGCCCCGCCCTCAGGTATATGGTCTCTGACTCGGTGCAGACGACACGAATTCCTCGTAACTCGTGTAGATTATTCTCTATATATGTGACTGCGTGAGTGGGTGAGTGAGTTGGGTTTAACGCCGCTCTGAACGGTATTCCAGTTATATCGCGTTGTGTCAGCCTCTTGTGGTAGGAAAGCCAGAAGTGATGCAGGTCTCAGACGTTTTCTATGGGTAAACCTAGGATCATAATCGGGGCGAACCGGGAATCGAACCAAGAAACATAGGGCCTAGATTTTCGAAACGATCTTAGCTTAGATAAATCTTAACAACTTACGTTCAAAGATAAGATATCTTAAGGTTAAGATAAGATAGATTTTCGAAACTATCGTAAACCTGTCGCAGATCGTTCAGAGCTACGATACCTATCGTAACTCTGACAGAGAACTCATTTGTGTTAGAGATTGAAAAAGCGGGGTGTTTCCCAATGACGTCACGGGGATTTCCCAGCTGCTGACAATAACAACAACATAGATACATGTAAGTGACACGGTATTCATGATTACATTGTCCGGTCATATTGTTTAACATGCACATATTTGTGTGAAATTCTGTACAATCCTACATATGTCCTACATGTAGACGTGTTGTTCTTATGATAAAAGAAGCCATGACTAACCGAACACAAAAAGCATTCGTGTGCCATGCAATAGCATTTTTCAAAACCAATAAATGCTATAATCAATAAGTGTAGTGTTACCACACTTTAGCTATTAGAATTGAAATAATGTGCCCAAAGATACTTCACTATTTTCACTTCAAATGATCCTCTCGTGAGCGCGCAGAACTTTATGATATAAACACATCGCGAACAAAGTCAAGGACGAAAGTAAGGGACGTTATTCTAAATGACAATGACGAGACCTTTGATCGAACAGCATATGCGTTCAGCATTTAACATACGTGTTCAAGTATGATGTTAAGTGATGTATACTGTATATTTTTGTGTTTATGTCAAAAGTCAAGTTTATATTAGTGTAAACACCAACATTATACGTGGAAACACTCAAAACAATAAATGTTCAGGAAGCAGCGCACCCACAAGCAAGTGTTTAAGACAATCTAAGCTTGTTAAGTTTGTTTTGTTATTTATGTATCCAATATCTTTCACGAATTAACCAAGGACTTAAATACAATATCAGGCTATTAGTATTTAGATGATGAAATTATTTTTTTTATCTATCTAGATCCATAATTCTTTTCAAAATTTAAAGGTGACACTAATTTTCGTTCGCAAAGGGAGATAATTTAGGAATTGTCAAGTCATGTTGTCTCATGGAACACGCCACAAGTTAACGTGAACATACATATCATGTAGTCATTTTCTATCCTTTTAGATTAAGTAGAGCTAATAAACTGATTTTTCTGATTTCAATTAAATCTGGCTGAGGAGCGAAATACCTTGTATGTGTCAAATCTGTTCCAGAATGTAGTTCAATAATGTTTGGCTTGTCGAACAGAATTGCTGAGGATCATTTACTAATATTTGTCCGTTGAACCTATACGTTACAACGATTTTATTGTCTCAAGTGTATCTACATATTTTAAAACATAAAACGGAAAGATGTAGACTTGAATATTAAAAAGACCAAAATATTTTAAAACCGGCTTATTGAATGCAAAGATTATTGTGTAGAAAATGTGTTTTTTATCAGTAAATTTCATTCAATAAACTTTTTTTCTGCGAACATATATTGGAAAGTGAATTTTGGACAATGTGCAATCTATGCTACATTTTGACGATAACCCAAACGAGCATGGGAACGAATTTTTTATTCAATTTGTCGATACGAAAATCTATGCTTAACTTTTGCTGTCAAAATTTCAGTAAAATTGTTATATTTAATGGAATACATGCCGTTAATCACCTGTTTGTAAAGAATGCAATTGTTCAACAGACAGTTTGTTAATCACTTTGTATCAAATATTTGTCTTTCAAGAGGACATTGATAACATAGGTATTGAATTTAAAACGAAACAAATAATTACAATTACTTTTGCAAGAAAAATATTAAATATTGTATACAAATATTTGATCACATGTATTTCCTTGTTAAGTCAATAAATACTACACTGTATAGTTTTTTATCCTTCCCAAATAAATCGAAAAGGTATGTTGTTTCACACTTCTTCAGCACTCGGATAGAAATACATTGTAAGCTATCGACTCCACAGTTACGTGGATCGCTGTCGCGATTAAGAACATTTTTGGCGTGAAATCCTTGCTGCGTTCTTTGTGTTTTCGAAGCGTCAATTTGAATCACTCAGTTTAACAAAATGAAATGTCAATGTTTGAACGTAAAGCAGACTAATGGTTTGTCAAAATATCTATGGAAAAGTATGCCGCCATCTTGGATAAAGATAAAATAAACTTACGACAGGTATGGGGCTATCTTAGATTTACGACAATCTTAAGATATCTTAGGCCTACGATAGTTTCGAAAATATGCTACGATAGCCTACGATTTCCTTACGACAAATTTACGATTATTTTAGGGCTACGATCGTTTCGAAAATCTAGGCCCTGCAGGTGTACCCAAGGGGAGCAACTCTGCACAGCGCGTCGGACGACTGGGCCACCCAGATTCTCTATGTATTCAAATGAATAACACAGTACTGATCTCAACACCTACAGGACAAGAGCACCCAGTCGGGGAAGGAGGCGGATGCAGCGGACAAGAGGATCGTGGAGATGTCACAGGTTCTGGACGAGCTAACGGATGGAGTTACCTCCCTGTTCCGCTGTCTGGGCTGCAACAGGACCCCCATCAACGAGATGCTGGGCAATGAGACGGGCGTCACGGAGAAGAACATCCTTCTATACATGGGCATCATCGAGCAGCGCACTATGGAGCTGCTGCACCTTCAACACTATATAGACATGAGGGTCAGTGATCGGGGTTTGCGTTGGGGGGGGGGGGGGGGGGGGGGGGGGGAGGAGTGAGTGAGTTTTGATTTGCGTCGCTTTTAGCAATATTGCATCAATATCACGGCGGGGGACATCAGGAATCGATTTCACACATTGTTACCATTGGGAATCGAACCCGGGCCTTGGACATGATGAGCGAACACTTTAACCACTAGGCTACCTTAGCGCCCCTAAAAGGAGAGAAAGGGAGGGAGATGACAAAGTGGAGGGGTGGAGCGGAATGTACGGAGGGAGGACACTTAGTGTGTATTTATGTATGTAACATGTTTGGTCTGTCATTGAACATGTTCACTCATTGCGTCCCTTGGACTTTCTCCCACATGTTTGAATGTAAATGCTACAGAATATGGCCCCGGAGAAGGACAAGGAGAAAGGAAAAGATGGCAAAACAAAGGAGCCAGATATGAAGAAGTTCCGCCGACCTCCAGCCACCAACACCATCACAATAGCACCTCCAGGTATTGGGTAAGTAATTCCGCCACCAACACCGTCACAATAGCTTCTCCAGGACTTGGGTAAGTAATCCCGCCACCAACACCGTCACAATAGCACCTCCAGGACTTGGGTAAGTAATCCCACCACCAACACCGTCACAATAGCTGCTCCAGGTCTATGGTAAGAAATCTCGCCACCAACACCGTCACAATAGCTGCTCAAGGTCTATGGTAAGAAATCTCGCCACCAACACCGTCACAATAGCTGCTCAAAGTCTATGGTAAGAAATCTCGCCACCAACACCGTCACAATAGCTGCTCCAGGTCTATGGTAAGTAATCCCGCCACCAACACCGTCACAACACCTTCTCCAGTTCTTAGGGAGGTAGTTCCCGCCAGCAACACCGTCACAATAGCTTCTCCAGTTCTTGGGTAAGTAATCCCGCCACCAACACCGTCACAACACCTTCTCCAGTTCTTGGGTAGGTAGGTCCCTCCCCGTCACAAACACAGTCTTAAGGATTTAGATAGGTACTTTCCCACGATCTTTTTTAGCGGCCTAAAATCCCACCAATCTTAGTTGAACCTGTGTTTGCATTGACCCTTCTTTGTATAGACTAACGGACTAACAGATTACAAGACATGATGTATTCTTTGCCGCATACCCAATTCTTTCAAAGCACTTGGGGGGAGATTATCTCAGAGAAGAACTGCAAAATTGTTGATGTGGCCTAAAACAACATTCACTCACCCAAGACATAGGGACTCATCTTCAGTTCCGTACACGGTTTCAAAGATGTCAAATAAATAAATAAATTGAACGACAATTTGTGGTCATGCATTATTTCACATTCTGCTTTTCTGTCGTGCTGACATGTTTGTTTGTTGTTTAACGCCGCTCTAAGCAATATTCCAGCTATATGACGGCGGTCTGTAAATAATCGAGTCATGACCAGACAATCCAGTGATTGACATTATGAGCATAGATCCACGCAATTGGCATACGATGACATGCATCAACCAAGTCAGCAACACTGGCCACCCGATCCCGTTAGTCGCCTCTGACGTAAAGCATAGTCGCCTTTTATAGCAAGAATAGGTTGCCGAAGACCTATTCTATACCGGATCTTCACGGGTCAATTGGTAAGGCAGGATAGTTTTGTCTAACGAATCTCTAAATAGCTCTCTCACATCATCATATAAAGGGCAGTATCTACTAGACGCTATCAAACTCCCCCAACATCAGGTGCTCTATCAAGACCTGTCACCCTCTGTATCTACTGGGCGCTTTATCAAGGGTCTCATGCTGACATGTATTTGTAGGGAAGATGAGGACATGAATGAGATGAGTGAAGAAACCGACCTCCGCCCTCTGAGCCACGAGGAACTGAAGCACATGGTGATGAGGCGTATCAACAGGTCAACCGGAAACGCGCAGTCAATCAACCCCACTCTGGTCAAGGACGCCAATACCCAGAGGTCCCCTCGGATACCAAAGGTCGAGGTCATTCAGCCAACATAACTTGCCTGCATGACAGACCATTAGTGTGAATACATGTGTATTATATATATAAAACTTTTAATTCAACTATTTAATTTGATAACCGTTATAAGGTGGTATGTGATTATTTATTTTTTCTAACAATTTACAGTTTTATCAACTATTTGTTAGTGAGTTTTAATTGTTTGCTGTTATATGTAGATACACCCAAATGTGCAATAAAAACTGATGGTTAGATTTGTTAAACAAAACATTTTATCTAAGAGTTTTATTGTTTAAAGGACCGCCTCCGTGGCCTAGTGGTAGAGCAGTGGCATCCGTCACAAACACATGCAAAGGCAAGTCAATTATATTTCACCCTGGAACACATGGTACAAATCAAAATAGGTACTTGCATCGGACCAAATTTTTGTCACTGATGGGTCAAATTTAGAAATGTCCTCCACTTGTATACTGAAGCTTAGACGCTGTGGGAATGTCATCCATTTCCTTCTACATGTGTCTTGGAAGAGACCCGAGGTGTTCTGTTACCTGATTCAGCGGGAAAGGTTGAGGTGAGGTGAAATGGGTATGACATGGCGTTCAAGATTATTGCACTTATATAGCCACGTGCATTCACACACTCGCGCGCGTGCGTGCGTTGAGTATGTGTGGCTGGCTGTACTCGTCCGGACTGATGCCGATTTACAGTGCTAGCCCACTGAGATTCCAAGCCGCAGTTTAACATGAATACCCTACTCAGACACAGTACACTGACGTCCTTGCCTTAGCCCCTTAATGCCGAGCGCCAGACAGGATAACAACAAGTACCATCGTTTAACATATTTTGGTATGACGTGCTAGGAATTGAATCACCGACCTTCCGCTCCTCGGGCCGACGCTCTATCCGATAAACATCAGTGGAGATCCCACGGGGAAAAATGTTTCTAAAATTTAGAGTATGTTTCCATATATGGAGAACCAAATAACAGAAGATCCGTCTTAAGTATTGACACTGCATAGTTGTCGTGACCTTGCCTCTATCACACGCATATTTTAGACTTCAACGCGATCCAAATTAAACTGACAACTCTGTGAAAGACACAGGTGTATAAAGTCTGCACAAATGTTTACTTTTTATAACGACACTCCTTCGCATCTTCACACTTTAAATGAGAAGTAACGCACCCGCTTGTCGGTAGTATCAGCCAGACAGCCTTGTGGAACACTAGCTGTACTTCTCCTCCTCCAGGCCTCCAGGTATAGTTGCTGATGTTTCCATGCCGCTATGTGGCGAATCCTAACTTTTCTTGTCAAAACCTCATCCTGGGCCCACTTGCACAAAGCGATCTTAGCGTTAAGACTATTGTAAGCCTATGCTAAAGTATGGGAGTTACGATCATCTTAGCGCTAAAATCGCTTTGTGCAAGTGGGCCCAGCATGGGTTGCTGGGGACCTATTTTAACCCGGAATGCCCATGAGAAGACCAGTATAGGTTGATGGAGACCTATAACCCGGAATCCCCACAGGGACACACTTGCACAAAGCGATCTTAGCGTTAAGACTATTGTAAGCTAAAGTATGGGAGTTACGATCATCTTAGCGCCAATATTGCTTTGTGCAACACAAACGCTTGCCTGTTACTGTACCTATAGTTAATGACAAACCCCTCCAGCAGGTGATCTTTTGTTTGTTTGTTTGTTTGTTTGTTTCTTGTTTAACGCCGCACTCTGCAATATTCCTTCTATATGACGGCGGTCTGTAAATGATCGAGTCTGGACCAGACAATTAAGTAATTGACATCATGAGCATCGATCCACACAATTGGGATCGATGACATGCATCAACCAAGTCAGCGATCCTGACCACCCGATCCCGTTAGTCGTCTTTTACGGCAAGCATGGGTTGCTGAAGACCTATTCTACCCCGGATCTTCACGGGTCAGTTGGTAACTTAAAGGTAGGATAGTTTTATCTAACGAATCTCTAAATATCTCTCATCAACACATGAAGGGCAGAATATAGTAGGCGCTACCCCCCCCCCCCCCCCAACATCAGGTGCTCTATCAAGACCTGTTACCTTCTGTATCTACTGGGCGCTATCAAACTCCCCCAACACCAGGTGCGCTGTCCAGAGCTGTTACTTTCTGTATCTACTGAGCACTGTCAAACTCCCCAACACCAGGTGCGCTGTCCAGACCTGTTACCTTCTGTATCTACTAGGCGCTATCAACCCCCCCCCCCCCCCCCCCCCAACACCAGGTGTACTGGATGCTATGAATCTGTTCCATTTACTATAAATAATGTTCAAACTCAAACTCCATTTTATTAATTTTCAGAACCATGATAGTTTTCCTTGTTCTAATCGGATCTGTAGCAGTTTATGGGTGAGTGGTATAAGTTATAGAATATCAGATCAGATGCAGTTTATCTGCGTGTGGTATAAGCTATATCTCATATGAGATGCAGTTTATAGATGACTGGCAAAGCTAGCATATCAGATGCCGCTTGTAGGTGCGTGGCATATGTTGGGTTATCTGGTCAGATGCAGTTTATGGGTGGTATAAACTGGTATATCAGATCAGGTGCAGTTTATGGGTACATTGTCTGAACTAGTATTTCAGATACGATGCAGTTTATGGGTAAGTGGTATAAACTAGTATATCAGATCAGGTGCAGTTTATGGGTACATTGTCTGAACTAGTATGTCAGATAAGATGCAGTTTATGGGTAAGTGGTATAAACTAGTATATCAGATCACGTGCAGTTTATGGGTACATTGTCTGAACTAGTATGTCAGATAAGATGCAGTTTATGGGTAAGTGGTATAAACTAGTATATCAGATCAGGTGCAGTTTATGTGTAAGTGGTATAAATAGAGAATCTCACCCGAGTGTCTTTTGATATCAAATATATCAACAAGAGTTGATAAAAGTGGAAAAACTCCGAGGCTTGCCGAGGATATTTGCCACTTTTATCAACGAGTGTTGATATATTTGATATCAAAAGACACGAGGATGAGATTTTATTTATCATCCAACATCATTCTTTCAACTTTTTTAATTTGTAGACAGTAATTAGCAGTGTCTTCGGTATAAAAAGTACTGCAAACAGCTTCAGTAGCAGAGCCATTAGTGATGTCATTTGATTGTGACGTCATGGTAACCAGTGATGTCACAATGGTCTGCAAAGCATTATGATGTAATTTCATTGCAGCGATATCTAAAGTGTAGATATCGCTTGATTTTCATCCAAGAGATATCTCCTGTGGGAGCCAGTTTTAGATGATAAACTAGTATATCAGATCAGGTGCAGTTTATTGGTAAGTGGTATAAAATAGTATATTAGATCAGGTGCAGTTTATGGGTACATTGTCTAAATCATTTATCAGATCAGGTGCAGTTTATGGGTACATTGTCTAAATCATTTATCAGATCAGGTGCAGTTTATGGATGGGTGGTATAAACTAGTATATCAGATCAGGTGCAGTTTATGGTTACATTGTCTTAATTATTTATCAGATCAGGTGCAGTTTATGGTTACATTGTCTTAATTATTTATCAGATCAGGTGCAGTTTATGGATGGGTGGTATAAACTAGTATATCAGATCAGATGCAGTTGGTTGTCCGCACCATTACCCGTTCGTGGGAAACGTCTGGGGCACGTTTGCATTCACATTTCCTCCAGCCCACTTTAGAACTGGAATAATTTTGAAAGAAGCCCCAACTCATCGGGGGCTTCTCTGCCCGCAGAAAACACTACTCCTGCAACCACACCAACCATGACCAGCTGCTCCCGAGCCAGGTGATCAGCAACGTCATCGCCGACATTGACACAGATGGCGACGGCATTGTGGAGCCAACCGAGGTCCAGGCGGAGTTCGTCGCCAGATATGACGTTGACAGTAGGATAATCATTATGATAAGAATCGGTGCCCTGTAACCTATGCTTGTTGTAAGAGTCGACTGAAGTGTCGGTTGATTTGTTATTTTACGTCGCACTCGGCAATATTCCTGCTATATGACGGCGGTCTGTAAATAATCGAGCAGACAATCCAGTGATTGATATCATGAGCATCGATCCACACAATTTGGATGACCTGCATCAAGCAAGTCAGCAAGTCTGACCACCCGATCCCGATAGTCGCCTCTTACCGATTGAAGTTCATCGCGTGGTTAAGCTCGGTGCCATGGCCAATTTCGCGTCGTTGCTCAAGCTTTCTGTCATTGGTTTGCCTGAATATGAAATCCTTAAAGGGACGTAATCGCCCTTTGGTAATATAAAAAATATCATTCAAAGCGCGACAATGCAACAAATGGCCAAAATGTAGCGTTGTCGCATTGTCGCATTGTTGCGCTTTGGTTAATTTTGACACTTTTTCGCTTGTTTCCCTGAGGGCGACAATGCGACAATGTCCCTTCTTGGATTCCATACCTGACCCTCGATTATTTTCAGGCCATTTTGATACAGCTGGCATATTGGTAACAAATATAGTTTCCATCAACCATGTCTTACCTAAATCGTCATCAATTAGTCAATTTGACATCCTATTTCCTAGTAGGGGCAGTACCGTAAACCCTCGAATAACGGCAAGGGACCCAAGACTGTATTTTGCCAATGTTGATCGCATCTCAAGAAGGGACTGGCCATTTGATAATCTGGATATTTAGAGAATAATCAACGAGCTACGAGAAACAGATAATTCTGAGTCTTGAGTAGATTATAGAAATATAATTAAGAATAAAGACTGCTCTACCCCATGTGTAGTGTATAAAGTATAGTTTTGCTGCTTGCGTCAATGAGCTTTGGCATCATGATAGTTCAGGGCAAAACAATACTTTATTACACAACACATTGGGGTAGAGCAAACTTTATTACTTTTCAAAGAGGCCGACTTTAAGACTAACCTCATGTTATATTGAAGCTGAGTTTAAAATCAAATCTGTAATGACCAGTTACGTAAACTTAAAATCCTCGAACAGGTCTCATTGTCGGGCTCTTCCACCTAATTGCCTGCACCCTCACGTTAAGACGCATATTTTACGTTTGAGACATAATAATACACCACTAAAATGGGAAGTTTTATTATTTGAATAGGTCATATTACATTTATTGTTTACCCATAATCTTATACAACAATAAGTGGAATTTTTAATTTAAGTTTTCATATTAATTTGCTTTAATTTAATCACGTGACTCCAACAGCGGCCGTTTCGCTTGACTTTAGTATGTTGCTAAATGCCGTATGCTGACTAACAGGTGGTTATGAAACCTATCAAGGATTGCTCATTCCACATCTTCCCGAGGCAAGAGAGTTAACTGACTTTAAAAGTCCAGTTAAAACCCTTGCCGAATCAGGCTGGAATTCCTGGGCACGATCGTAGCGTCACCAGTGGCTGTTACGAGTTAAGTCTCTTCTATGCCTCTCCTATGGACCAATCAGATTCCACCTCTCGTATCACTTGCATTTGCTTCAAACAAAATGGCGGCGCCCAGTCAAGAGGATATGATCGACAATCAAGATCTATATTGTGAGAAAACGAGTCTTACATCGCGAAGTACATCGAATCACGTGAGGACCTTGATTGAAAACTTGAAAAGATTTGGAAAATATCTGTTGACAACGAGTTGCGGTGCACATGCTGTGCAAATCCTGCATCGACCAAAATCTGCATGACAGTTTACGAACCGGTTTTGGATTCGGTGCGCGATTTTGATTGGACTATGCATAGACTCGTTAGTCAACCAAATATAACTCCACACCTGCAGCCCAGTTCGGCAAGGGTGGAAACTGGACTTTTATAGTCAGTTAATTGTCTTGCCTCGTGAAGATGCTCATTCCCTTACCCAGAGACAGACATAATTCCTAGAGCACCAACGCCCGCCTCGGACAGTTTCAGACTGCTTTGGCACGGGCACAGTGGTGTATGTATGTTTGGGAGATGCCTGCGGCTTTATATATGACTGACATCATCTTGCCATATTACTTCCCACGTATATTATTCAAATATACTGAACCAAATTAAAAACTTCACAATCCTAAGGGGCGGTCGTGTAGCCATAATACCGCACGTGTTTTCAGCCATACTTGTTAGCAGTCATTAGCAAAAAAAGAAAAACACAAGAAACAAAAGTCTTTACGGCCATTTGTCATGCCACGCCTTTCAAATGTGCAACGTGAACGTGCCATCGGCATGTTGCAGACGGGAACGTCCGTAGCTGAAGTCTCATGGACGATGGGTTGTAGTCGACGGACTGTTCATGATTTACAGACGCGTCTACAGCAAACGGGTACCACCGCTGATCGCCCTCGGCCAGGTCGACCACGTGTGACGTCACATGCAGAGGATCGTCAGATTGTCTTACGTCACCTCCGTAACCGATTTTTGACGGCTACATCAACCAGAAATGAACAGTTTAGGGGTAGACATAGTGTGCAAACTGTTCGAAACCGTCTGAGAACTGCTCACCTTCAAGCACGACGGCCATACTGCGGGCCGATTTTGACTCAATTACACAGACGTCAACGTCAATTGTGGGCACAGCGGCACTTACGATGGACTCAGAGGAATTGGAATCAAGTCGACTTCAGTGATGAATCCCGATTTAATCTTCGATTTGCTGATGGTAGGGCGAGGGTGTGGAGGCGCCGTCATGAACGTTACACCCAGTGTTGTGTACAGGACGTTGACAGATTTCGAGGCGGAAGTGTCATGGTGTGGGGTGCTTTCTGTGGCAATGCACGTTCCAGGCTTCTTGTCATCCGTGGCAACCTCAACGCTGCTGCTTACCGCGACCAGGTACTGGCACCAGAACTTCTGCCTTTTATGGCAGCACATGGACCAGGTTGATCTTCCAACACGACAATGCCAGACCCCACACAGCAATTTTGACAAGGAATTTCCTTCAGAATGCGGGAGTCAACGTAATGGACTGGCCGTCAAGGTCTCCCGACCTCAAGCCCATCGAACACGTCTGGGATGGTCTTGGCAGAAGTCTGCGCACTTCTCCAGAACCAACCACAGAATGTGCAAGATCTTGGCACCATTTTGCAGCAACAATGGCGTCGTCTTCCCAATCATGTGTTCACAAGCATCACAAGGTCCATGCGGAGGCGTTGTGTGGCAGTTGTCAACGCACATGGTGGCCATACACGCTACTTAACTTGTGTGCCATCATCAGATTCTCGTGATTAGGACTTATGATTTAAACTGTTGATGTTATTACCGAATACCGTAGGTGCTTGGAACAAACTATGGTTACCACCGTTAATAAAATCCTTCTTTGGACATAAATGATTAAAAAATTACCTTCTCTGATACATTTGTCCCTTATATATCATACATGGGATCAGTTTTAAAAATGTAAAGTTTATAATTTGACTACATATATTTATGCAAGTTTAAAGAAACTCCCTTAACCGAAAATTGACGTGGATGCGCCATCTTGCTTGACAATAACGAAAGAACGGTGTTACCAAGGATGGAACTTGAACAGCGCCATGACGTCAGTCCATTATGACGTAATTCAAAAAGTGTACTTTATCGCAGGAACACTTCACTGAAGGATGCCTATTGTTCAGATGACGTGATGTAATCAATGTGTGTCGCGATGAACAATGGATGACGTTATATTGGCTTTACTCAACAGTAAGCGTTGTGACGTATTATGGCTTCAAATGAACACCCAACGTTGAGAATCGCTGAATGCACATGTGCAATTATCGGAAGGCGTTTACACACGATCCTTCGACCCGTATGGGTAATATAATATAATTTTACACAAAACAAACCTTTTTGCTGGAATGCTTGATAGTATGTTGTAAAAGGACAGTCATTGTGTGCCTTGAAGCAGTATTCTGTGTCTGACAAGAATTCAAGTGTATGATATATGTACATGTACAATGATAAATACCCTGGCCCCATTCGACACCGTAGCTCCTTAGTCACCAACCTCTCTCTCTCTCTCTTCTCTCTCTCTCTCTCTCTCTCTCTCTCTCTCTCTCTCTCTCTCTCTCTCTCTCTCTCTCTCTCTCTCTCTCTCTCTCTCTTACACTAACTTAGCACAGACGCATCAAGAGTGAAAATATTGGTGCAGAAATATTTGAAAAGATAATTATGCCTTAGGTTTTACGAAAATATTATGGTTGTTCCAGAAAACGGAAGTATCACAGAGGAAGAGTTTGTAAAACAAAGGCATCGGCACTACCTCGACGTTCGCAACTTTGTTGGCTATCTCTTCCACAATTTCGACGTGAACACGACAACAGTCTGACCGACAGTGACCTGTGACCTCGTCGCTTTGTCAAAAAATCTCGACACTGACGGTGGGTGTTCATTCATGTCTCTTTTATGTTACAGGAAAGGGGCGAGGAACGGGGAGAAGGGGGGGGGGGGGGGGGGGGGGGGGGGGGTTAGGAGGACAATACCTCTCTGTGAGTAGATAACAGGTCACATTAATCTTGAGGTACTAACGCCCAATCAAAGTGAAGGATTTGTAGGTTCTTGATCAAATCAGATTCCACCTTTCTAAAGCAGTTCGGCTTCGTGTCTTTACCCCCTAATTCGGAAATTTCGATTCGTTCAAATGAAAACACAGAACACAAATAGTCCTTCATTGTTTCTCACTTTGTCGCCAGTTTCAGAAAATGTGAAAACTTTGGCCTTGACAGTCTCTAAAGCAGAAAGATGGATGGAACGGCTGAACATATTAGATGTCTCCCCTCTATGTAACCCTTGACAACGGTTTATGTATTGCAGGAAATGGGGAAATCTCGATCGCAGAGTTCAGGACCTACATGATGAACGTAAGTCACGTAACAATACATTTTTGAGTGATACCCTGATACCTATCTGCCAACGATTTTACCTTCTCCCGAAGAGTTAGGAACCGTCAGTATGACCCATGCTAAAACAAAATGGCAGCCAAGATGGGCATCTTCCTTAAAAGGACGTATTCTGTTTGGCATCGATCCTTTTGTCACTAAATTACACATAACTAGAAATAATCAAAGAGAGGATGTTCTCTTAACCAGACTTCGTCTTGGGCATTGTGGTCTTGGAGCTTATCTAAATGCTATTAATAAAGACATTTCTGCACATTGTACAGTGTGTAATCAGCTTGATAATGTAGCTCATTTTTTATTGCCAAAAGTATGTTAATCAGCGTAAGGCAATGGTGGAGTCTCTAACAGTTCTCAATATTGACTATAGTGTTCACCAATTCAGAATGTCATTCTCGCTTACATTAAGCGTGTGGCAGTTTTGATACTTTATAAAAGATCTAGGTACTTAGCAAACCTTTATTATGGGCAAGGTGTAAATGGGCCTAGTTGCCCGAACACCTATAAAACATTTTAATGATCAATCATCACCTGTCTGCCAAGTTTATTTGAAGCAGATAAGTCAACTCTGCGTGTAACTAGATTCAATGTAATAACAAATCCAAAATAAATATCAAAAGGCAAGCATAAACATCGACAATTAAAACCTAATGTCGAAAATGACCGGAAAATAGAAATTCCATAAAGGTGTGCAACAATCTGATAAATTACATCAAAGGAGGTCACACCTCAACCAACAGGTAGTAATTTTGGTCACTTAGGTAACCAAAACGTCATTTACTTACGAATGGCAACTGAAATTCCGTCACCAAGTTGGTTGGTTGGTTTGTTGTTTAACGCCGCACTCAGCAAAAATAAATAAATTGAACGACAATATATGGTCATGCATTACTTTTCATTCTGCTTTTCTGTCCTGCTGGCATGTTTGTTTGTTGTTTAACGCCGCTCTCAGCAATATTCCAGCTATATGACGGCGGTCTGTAAATGACCGAATCTGGACCAGACAATCCAGTGATTAATATCATGAGCATCGATGCACGATCGATGACATGTAGCAACCACGTCAGCGAGCCTGACCACCCGATCCCGTTAGTCGCCTTTCACGACAAGCATAATCGCTTTTTACGGCAAGCATGGGTTGCTGAAGACCTATTCTACCCCTGATCTTCACGGGTCAAGGATATATCTCGTATACATCTCTGACAAAATGGCGAAGGTGTCCGGTAAATGGATTCTTTTCAGCACATTGGATCCAAATACATCGTTCATGATTACTTCACAACAGATTGAATAACAAAGTACAAAGGTTTTCATTTAGGAATATGTTTTATTAAAACGTATTTAAGAAACATACGACGAGTGGGAGTTGGTTATCGTACAACAAAAAAACACTGCAGGGAGAATAAACCATGACGGGCGCATCCTCTAGTATCATATTTTACTGACTTCCCCATTCGGTGTCACCCCCACCCCCCACCCCCATCCCCCACCCCCCACCCCCCACCCCCCCGCACACTCACACTACCACACTACAGTGGGAGAGGCGTGAACCACTCACTATGTCACTATGAGACGTGTTAACACTTCGTATGTTTCAGCTCTACACCAACTGTGTTACAGCTCACGGCAACTGATGTCCACTGTGAAATAAAACATCGTGATCGACATTCCAAATGTGTTTTGTTTGTCAGAGTGGGTAGGAGGGGTCCCACTGTGTTGGTCGACAATGAAGATGAGGTGATGACGTACGAAGGTCCGGTGTTGTGAGGGCCCAATATTTGGACCACTGGATCTGCGTAGATAGGACATGAGAAAACATTTACATACTACAATGAAAGGCACCAATTGTTGGTTTTTTTATGAATCAGAATTACAATACTTCCATGTTTTGGATTTATGACAACACAGTCTACAAAGTGTGAAGGTTTTCAGGATGCGTATCAATAACAAACACACCCACACACTTACTAACACTAACACACACAGACTCATTCACTCACACACACACTAACACACAGACATAATAAATTACGCTTGCACTCACACGCCGTACAAACACACACTAACACACAAACACACTCCCACTCAGACACACTCACACACACGTCACATACACACTCAATCACACATACACTCACACACGCCGTACACACACACACACACACACACACACTAACATACGCACACTCACGAACACACTCACACATTAACAATAACACATACTCTCACACACATACATTAATACACACGTTAACACACACACACACACACACATTAACTAACAAACACACTCAATCACACATACACACGCACACACTCTCACACACACACTCACACATACACTCACGCTCATACACACACATACACCCACATTAACTAACAAACACATATACACACACTCACAGATACACACACTCACACATACACGCGTGCGCACGCACGCACACACACATACACACACTCACTCACACGCACACACACATACACACACATTCACACATACTCACACACTCATGCACTCATACACACTATCACATACACACACACTCACATTAACTAACAAACACACATCCACACACTCACACATACACGCGTGCGCACGCACGCACGCGCACACACACACACTCACACATACACGCGTGCGCACGCACGCACACACATACACACACACACTCACACTCACACTCACACACACACACACAAACACACCCTAACACTCACACATACTCACACGCTCATGGTTTCTACATAGAACACTCCAGGAGGGGATGCGATAGTTCGACCCGGCAGTACAGACTGCGATCACGTTGTAAGTGAAGCTTTTATGACCCATTACACAGTTATCATGGTCACGACCTATTGCTTATAAATGACATTGGTTGAAGTAACTAGTAACACACAGAGATAGTTCCATGTGAGAAAGTGACACTCCGTTAATTCCTGTTGCCTGGTCCAGGATCAAGTTTTGACCAAAGACTGCATGATGATTAGTTTCTGGTAACATGGGAATAGCCAGAGATGTACACACAGCTGAGTTTTGTTTATAACACTGTTGCAGGGTCCGTAAATATTGATTATATATCAATTTGACGAATATTAAAACATTAATATACTGAACCGCAAAAGAAACGTCACCCCAAGTAACATTACATGAAAAGTTGTCATTTAAATATCTGGGTAATTTTTTATTTTTAAAAATTTAACATTACGTTGTCCGGAAAAATGAAATTGATGATAAAAATACAAAGCAGATGACAATAAAACCGATCGCCCAAACGCATCACGGCAACGGTCATGGTAACGTGAGTTCCGTGCAAATTGAAATGCACATGCGTTCCCCCATTTCTTGCCCAATAACAATCCAGCCAGATCGGATAACATTGGTTCGTTATTGAATTGCTACCACATGCCAAGATTGACAAGAAATCAGCGACACCAAGACCTTGGACGATTGCAAGTAGCCAATACATTTCAAGTCCACGTAAGGACCATATACAGACTCCAGCAACGGTACCAGACCACCAACACAACAGATGACCGACCACGTAGTGGAAGACCAAGGGTCACCGCCCGACGTCAGGATCGTCAGATTGTACGACAGCATCTTCAAGATCGCTTTGTTACTGCTGCGGAAACTGCTCGACAGACCATGGGGACACACCAGCGACACATTATTGCGGACACCGTGCGTCGACGATTGACGAGCAGACACCTCCACTGTCACAGGTCACACCGAGGACCCATTCTGACACCACGTCATCGCCGGGACCGTCTTCAGTGGGCAACACAGCACCAGCATTGGCGCCACCAGCAATGGAGAAGAGTCCTCTTCTCAGACGACAGTCGTTACTGTATCTCAACAGCAGATGGCAGAGAGGGAGTCTGGCGACGCTGTGTTGTTGAGAGAGGCTCGTGGGGTGGTCAGAGCATCATGGTGTGGAGTGGAATTGGTCTTGCACAGAAGGTCGGCCCTGTGGTCTTCCAGAACAACGGTCCAGGGAGAGGCAATGGTGTCACAGCATCTCGGTACATTGATCAAGTCTTGAGACCACACGCCATACCTCATTTCGCACGTCGCCGCAACCACGAGTTTCAGCATAACAACGCCCGTGCCCACACTGCGAGAGTATGACGAGACTTTCTCCAGCAGAATGGCATCAAAACCATGCAGTGGTCTGCCATCAGTCCCGACTTAAATCCCATTGAGCACCTGTGGGACGAGCTTCAAAGACGGCTGAATGACGTCCGACCAAGGCCGACAACTGCAGCTGAACTGCGTCAGGCGTTCCTCAGAGTGTGGGCTCAAGTGCCTATGGCCTTCATCAACCGCCTCAACCATTCCATGTATCGACGTTGCACGGCAGTCATCAATACACATGGCGGACACACGAGATACTGACTTGTGAGGCCATCTTCTCAGAGACTAGAAGTTGTGTTTCACTTTAAGAACATTTGAGACATTAATTTCAACCTTGATGATCAGTTTTGCCAAGTTTCATCTTTTAAATATGTCTCAAAGTATGTTTACAGTGTTTGGACAAATGCGGTTTCTCATATATCTATCCATGGTGACGTTTCCTTTGCGGTTCAGTATATTTGTCGAGTACACATTCTTCCGTGGGTACAACGATAAGTTCTATTATGTTTAACTTAAAGCTACTTAAAGCGTGTATTATATCTCCATCTAGTTTGTTATATCCTACAATGACACTAAAAATATCTCTCCAATCAAATTACTCTTATAAGAGAGAAAAATGATGTGCTGATTTGTGATACGAGAGATTGATATGGTCACGTCACTTCCGAAACGAAACGTTGATGGTTAATGGGTCCAGGGTATATATCACAAAGGATGGATATATAGTACCCTGGATAATTGAGGATGACCTGCATCCACAACACAACCTCATCATGACACCAACTACATCTGCAGCCAACACTACACAGACTGGACACGTCTTAGAGATATAACGAGCGCTTCTAGCAATGTTGATTTAGTTCTCTTTGTTTTAGTTTGTTTGTTTGTTTGTTTGCCTGTTTAGCGCCGCACTCGTCAATACTCTAAGTATATGACGGGGGCCTGTAATGGTCGAATCTGGACCAGACAAGCCAGTGATTGACATCATGAGCATCGGTATTTGATATTATGATCAACGTCCTCGTAGACAGGATACGATGACATGGTATCAACCAAATCACCGAGCCTGACCTCCCGATCCATTTGTCGCCTCTCCAATGTTGCGTGGGACGAAATCCGAACGGGTCGATAACTAGGCCTATAATACTCAGGTCTTATAGTGATGCAGTAGGAATACATTAGAACACGGATATTGCGAACAAACGGATATAGCGAACAAACGGATACAACAAACTGTTACAAAATCCCCGATTTATCTCCTATATAATATCATATAAAATTTACGTATATAACGAACTTTCTACAGCGAACTAACGGATACAGCGAACTGATATCTGATGACCGAAAAGCCCATCTATCACTAATTAGTGACGTGTATAGCGAACTGAGAAATCTCACTCAGTGTATCAGGGGGCACAGGTGGCCCAGTCGTCTAAGGCGCTGCGATTCGCTGTGCAGAGTTGCGTCCCTTGGGCAAGCCAGAAACCTATGATTGTGAGTTCGAATCCCGGTTCGCCCCGAGGTTTGTCAGCACCATACCTGTGCTCGTCGGTTTCACCGAAGGGGTAAACGTCTGAGACCTGCATCACTTCGGGCTTTCCTCCCACCTTAAGCTGACACGCCGCGATATAACTGGAATACTGTTAAAAGCGGCATTAAACCCAACTCACTCACTCACTCACTGTATCGGAATAACGATGTGTACATGCGACACGTCTTGTATATACAGAAGCTTCACATCATCCTCCAAAATCACGTCTCGTGTCCCACACTACAAAGATGGTGTTTCAACATTTGCTTTTATCTAAACATGTAGTCCATGACCTCTGCTCGCGACAGTGTGTGAGGCAATCAAACAGCTGTGAACTAGAGTAGGCTGCGCAGCATTCCTTTCCAACACATTTCATAAGAGATAATACTTCCAGTGTAATCTAATGTAATATTTTCACGTCGAAGTACATGCCTGGCAGTCGTGACCACCTCCAGCACCACGTGTACTGTCAACACTTGCTAGTTCTTGTATATACCCATCCCTCGTCACCACCTCCAGCACCACGTGTACTGTCAACACTTGCTAGTTCTTGTACATACCCAGACCTCGTCACCTCCTTGTATATACCAATAACTCGTCACCTCCTCTAACACCACCTGTACTGTCAACACTTGCTAGTTCTTGTATATACCCAGACCTCGTCACCTCCTTGTATATACCAGGAACTCGTCACCTCCTCTAACACCACCTGTACTGTCAACACTTGCTAGTTCTTGTATATACCCATCCCTCGTCACCACCTCCAGCACCACGTGTACTGTCAACACTTGCTAGTTCTTGTACATACCCAGACCTCGTCACCTCCTTGTATATACCAAGAACTCGTTACCTCCTCTAACACCACCTGTACTGTCAACACTTGCTAGTTCTTGTATATACCCAGACCTCGTCACCTCCTTGTATATACCAAGAACTCGTCACCTCCTCTAACACCACCTGTACTGTCAACACTTGCTAGTTCTTGTATACACACAACCCTCGTCACCTCCTCTAATACCACGTGTACTATCAACACTTGCTAGTTCTTGTATATACCCAGCTCTCGTCACCTCCTCTAATACCACATGTACTGTCCACACTTGCTAGTTCTTGTATATACCCAGCCCTCGTCACCATCTCCAACACCACGTTAGCTGTCAACACTTGCTAGTTCTTGTATATACACAGACATCGTCACCACCTCTTACACCACGTGTGCTGTCAACACTTGCTAGTTCTTGTATATACCCAGACCTCGTCATCCCTTCTAACAACCTGTCCTGTTAACACTTGCTAGTTCTTGTATATACCCAGCCCTCGTCACCTCCTCTAATACCACGTGAACTGTCATCACTTGCTAGTTCTTGTATATACCCAGCCCTCGTCACCTCCTCTAATACCAAGTGTACTGTCAACACTTGCTAGTTCTTGTATATACCCAGACCTCGTCATCCCTTCTAACAACCTGTCCTGTTAACACTTGCTAGTTCTTGTATATACCCAGCCCTCGTCACCTCCTCTAATACCACGTGAACTGTCATCACTTGCTAGTTCTTGTATATACCCAGCCCTCGTCACCTCCTCTAATACCACGTGTACTGTCAACACATCTTAGTTCTTGTATATACCAAGACCTCGTCATCCCTTCTAACAACCTGTCCTGTTAACACTTGCTAGTTCTTGTATATACCCAGCCCTCGTCACCTCCTTTAATACCACGTGTACTGTGAACAATTGCTTGTTCTTGTTTATACCCAGCCCTCGTCACCATCTCCAACACAACGTTAGCTGTCAACACTTGCTAGTTCTTGTATATACCCAGACATCGTCACCAACTCTTACACCACGTGTACTGTCAACACTTGCTAGTTCTTGTATGTACCCAGACATCGTCACCAACTCTTACACCATGTGTACTGTCAACACTTGCTAGTTCTTGTATATACCCAGACATCGTCACCAACTCTTACACCATGTGTACTGTCAATACTTGCTAGTTCTTGTATATACCCAGCCCTCTTCACCACCTCTAACACCACGTGTACTGTCAACACTTGCTAGTTTTTGTATATACCTAGCCCTCGTCACCTTCTCTAACACCACGTGTACTGTCAACACTGTCTAGTTCTTGTATATACCCAGACCTCTTCACCTCCTCTCATACCACGTGTACTATCAACACTTGCTAGTTCTTGTATATACCCAGCCCTCTTAACCTCCTCTAACACCACCTGTACTGTCAACACTTGCTAGTTCTTGTATATACCCAGACATCGTCACCACCTCTTATACCACGTGTGCTTTCAACACTTCCTAGTTCTTGTATATACCAAGACCTCGTCACCTCCTCTAACGCCACGTGTACTGTCAACACTTGCTAGTTCTTGTATATACCCAGCCCTCGTCACCACCTCTAACACCACCTGTACTGTGAACACTTGCTTGTTCTTGTTTATACCCAGCCCTCGTCACCACCTCTAACACCACGTGTACTGTCAACACTTGACTAGTTTTTGTATATACCTAGCCCTCGTCACCTCCTCTAACAAAACGTGTACTGTCAATACTTGCTAGTTCTTGTATAAAGCCAGCCCTCGTCACCTCCTCTAATACCACGTGTACTGTCAATACTTGCTAGTTCTTGTATAAAGCCAGCCCTCGTCACCTCCTCTAATACCACGTGTACTGTCAACACTTGCTAGTTCTTGTATATACCCAGCCCTCGTCACCTCCTCTAACACCACGTGTACTGTCAACACTTGCTAGTTCTTGTATATACCCAACCTCGTCATCTCCTCTAACACCACGAGTGCTTTCAACACTTGTTAAAGTACGGTCGGAAATGCCAGAAAACTGCTTTTTGCCTGTTAAATAAGGATATAATTTTTCACAGAAAGTTGTTATTGAAATATGGAGTAACTACAGATCGCCCTACCTGTGGTTTGAAGTATTTCAGTCACAAGGAGTCCTATCGACAAGTTAAAAGAAGACAAATTCGAAAGAAAGTATAATGTAGTCTTCATAAAACATCTAATCCACACACAAAAATCATTTTAAGAAAATTCTAAAATGACAAAATGACGATGCGTTTGTTTTGTTAACATTGCTCCCATGAAGCATGTTACATAACACTTGCATACCCATAACCATGGTACACGATCTGTACTGGGAAATGTATACAAGTTCTTTACACTTAGAGAGATAGAGGGAAATCATTTATTAATTCAGATAGGGTGAATTACCGAACTGCCCAAGTTATTGGGTTTTCAGTTCATACCATCAAGCCTACGGTATGATAAATAAAACAAAACAGGTATAGGGGTGGTCTCAAAAACAAAACTGGGACGTAAGAGGATAGTAGATAGCTGTGATACAGGGTGATTAGGCGTATAGTGTACAAGCTTTATGAGCAGAAGGTAACCCTGACTTGTAGTAGAATCAGGGAGGAATTAAAGATACAATTAATGTCAACTGCATTAACTATTGCCCTCCAAGAGATGGAATTTCGATACACTGAGCATGGCAATGTCGGAGCACTTTTCAGGGGAAAATATTCCATCCTGTTTATGAGGTCACATTATCTCCGAACCATTTATAACTATCACAGTCACGGCGTACAGATAATTTACCTTGATGAATCATGCCACTGACTACATGTGGAAAAGCACCCATGGTACCATCAGATAAAGGTAATCGTGTCATTGTTTTACACGCTGCAACCCATGATATGGGACTTATTGATGGATGTGTGCTAGTTTTCGAGGCGAAAAAGAAAACTGATGAATTTCATGAGGAAATTATAGGAGGTGATTTGTTCATAGACTGGTTGGAATTTCAGCTATTCCCCATTTTAAACAACGCCAGTGTCATTGTCATGGGTAACGACAGTTAATATAACGTCTGGGAATCAGATACTGTCGCCCAAACCATGAGTAGACTGAAGGCGACCATACAGGAATATATGACATCGTCGGTTTCAGACCATATAAAACGAAAGTTCAACTCATGTAGAAAAAATCGGCGGAATAAGAACACGACATATGTGCTGGCGGCACAACACGGTTACGTTGTGTTACGTACGCCAGTCAGACATTGTGAGTTCAACCCTGTTGTGCCCATTTTGGCTCATTGTAAAGAGTTCGTGGCAAGACATAACACGACATTCAAAAGTACAGATTCATATACCTCATCAGCGGAGATAAATGCTACCTCAAGAAATCATCTGTAGAACAACAAATACTTCTGGATTCCAAAACCGCAACCTTCCAATACGCATCCCGTTTCGTAGCTCTTAACTATTCCATCATGAGGTCATTTGTTTCCAAGCAAATTTAATGCAATATATATCCTAAATTGCTACCCTACCTACGCACATGTCAATTAAGTACAATAACAGCAATATTTTGAGACCAAAACTCGGTGACATGTGCACCTGTGAGAATGCACGGGACGGTGTGAGGTCATCACCTGGGGACAGGTGTTAGGTAATTATCTCAGGTTATAGGCCATTTCATACATGCATGACAACACACGAATATTTTCTAAGTTTATCATCATTTTACCTGTAAAAGTACATTTTGAGCGTAATCACAGTGCCAGTTAGGACAGGTTAGATTAGGGCAATTCGCCATATTTTAATATATGCTCTTTTTATAGTCCTTTGACTCGTATTTATTAAATGAAGCCAGAAAAGCAGTTTTCTAGCATTTCCAACAGAACTCAGCCACCGAATGGCCACGTCTTAGAGATACGACAAGCGCTTCTAGCAATGTTGATTTAGATACTCTTTCTTTTAGTTTTTTTCACGCCGCACTCGACAATATTCTAAATATATGACGACGGCGTGTAATTGCCGAGGCTGGACCAGACAAATCGGTATTTGGTATTATGATCAACGTCCCTCGCAGACATGATACGATGATGTGGTAGCATCGGGCCTGACACCCCGATCCACTGAGTCGCCTCTCCAATGTTGCTGGGGACGAGACCCCAACAAGACGACACTCGGGTCTAATAGTTCTACAACAGGAATATCGGAATAACGATGGGTACATGCGTAGAATATATCCCCAGATACTTCTTGTACCCATCCTACGTGACCCACTACATAGTTTGGGATTCAACATTTTCTTCTATCTAAACATGGAGTCCTTACCTAACCTGCTGTGTTAAATCTGCTGTGAATTAATTAAGGTACTCCATCTGCACCACTCCATTTGCAAGACTTTATATAAGAGATAACACTTCTAGTGGAAGATCCCGCTTGAACACTTCAACAGGTAATGTATGAAAGTAGTGAGAAAATCTTTCATGTTAACTCGATGCTTGCATACCTACAACTATTGTACTGTTAATACAACCTTTTTCTGGTTCTCGTATATACCCAGACCCTGTCACCTCCCCTTAACACTTGCTAATTCTTGTACATACCCAGACCCATCAACCTCTTCTAACACAACGTTTACGGTCAACACTTGCTAGTTCTTGTACATACCCAGACCCCGCCACCTCTGCTAACACCACGTTTACGGTCAACACTTGCTAGTTCTTGTACATACCCTGACCCCGCCACCTCTTCTAATCAACGTTTACGGTCAACACTTGCTAGTTCTTGTACATACCCAGACCCATCCACCTCTTCTAACACCACGTTTACGGTCAACACTTGCTAGTTCTTGTGTATACCCAGACCCTGTCATCCCCTTTTTTACCACACTTGCATACAACCACTGCAGACATTTTACTATGACACTCATGTTCACGGCGGTCACAGTTCTGTGGGTGTACAATGAGAAGAGTGATAGACTGATGTTCCTCACCTGTTTCAGCAACCATGATAGCCCTCCTCCTTCTACTCGGAACTGCGTCGGTATATGGGTGAGTGTTATGTGGTACAATGTGCAACATCTCAATAGTTCTATCAGGCAATGTGTCTGTATATGGGTGAGTGATGTGTGGTACAATGTGCAACATCATAACACTACTATCAGGCAATGTGTCTGTATATGGGTGGGTGATGTGTTGTACAATGTGCAACATCTCAAAAGTTCTAGTCTCCAATGTGTCTGTATATGGGTGAGTGATGTGTGGTACAATGTGCAACATCTCAAAAGTTCTAGTCCCCAATGTGTCGGTATATGGGTGGGTGATGTGTAGTACAATGTGCAACATCTCAAAAGTTCTAGTCTCCAATGTGTCGGTATATGGTTGAGCGATGTGTGGTACAATGTGCAACATCTGACTAGTTCTATCAGGCAATGTGTCTGTATATGGGTGAGTTATGTGTGGTACAATGTGCCACATCTAAACAGTTCTATCAGGCAATATGTCTGTATATTGGTGAGTGATGTGTTGTACAATGTGCAACATCTCAAAAGTTCTATCAGGCAATGTGTCTCCAGGTCTTGGGTAAGTAATCCCTCCAATAACATCGTCACAATAGCTTCTCCAGTTCTTGGGTAGTTAGGTCCATCCCCGTCACAAACACAGTCTTAAGGATTTAGATAGGTACTTTCCCACGATCTTTTTTAGCGGCCTAAAAAAACACCAATTTAAGTTGAACCTTTGTTTCCATTGATTATTTCAGAGAAGAACTGCAAAATTGTTGATGTGGCCTAAAACAACATTCACTCACCCAAGAGATAGGGACTCATCTTCAGTTCTGTACACAGTTTCAAAGATGTAAAATAAATAAATAAATTGAACGACAATTTGTGGTCATGCATTATTTTACATTCTGCTTTTCTGTCATGCTGACATGTTTGTTTGTTTGTTTGTTTGTTTGTTGTTTAACGCCGCTCTCAGCAATATTCCAGCTATATGACGGCGGTCTGTAAATAATGGAACCTGGACCAGACAATCCAGTGATTAATATCATGAGCATCGATCCACGCACTTAGGATCGATGACATGTATCAACCATATCAGCGAGCCTGGCCACCCGATCCCGTTAGTCGCCTCTTACGACAAGCATAGTCGCCTTTTAGAGCAAAAATGGGTTGCTGAAGACCTATTCTATCCCGGATCTTCACGGGTCTCATGCTGACATGTATTTGTAGGGAAGATGAGGACATGAATGAGATAAGTGAAGAAACCGGCCTCCCCCTCTGAGCCACGAGGAACTGAAGCACATGGTGATGAGGCGCATCAATAGGTCAACCGGAAAAGCGCAGTCAATCAACCCCAATCCAGTCAAGGACGCCAATACCCAGAGGTCCCCTCGGATACCAAAGTTCGAGGTCATTCAGCCAAAATAACTTGCTTGCATGACAGACCATTAGTGTGAATACATGTGTATTATATATATAAAACTTTAAATTCAACTATTTGATTTGATAACCGTTATAAGGTGGTATGTGGTTATGTATTATTTCTAATAATTTACAGTTTTATCAACAATTTGTTTGTAATTTTTAATTGTTTGCTATTATATGTAGGTACACCCAAATGTGCAATAAAAACTGATGGTTAGATTTGTTATACAAAACATTTTATCTAAGAATGTTATTGTTTAAAGGACCGCCTCCGTGGCCTAGTGGTAGAGCGGTGACATCCATCACAAACACATGCAAAGGCAAGTCAATTATTTCACCCGGGAACACATGGTACAAGTCAAAATAGGTACTTGCATCGGACCAAATGTTTGTCACTAATGGGTCAAATTTAGAAATGTCCGCCACTTATATACTGAAGCTTAGACGCTGTGGGAATGTCATCCATTCCTTCCTACATGTGTCTTGGAAGAGACCCGAGGTGTTCTGTTACCTGATTCAGCGGGAAAGGTTGAGGTGAGGTGAAATGGGTATGACATGGCGTTCAAGATTATTGCACTTATATAGCCACGTGCATTCACACACTCGCGCGCGTGCGTGCGTTGAGTATGTGTGGCTGGCTGTACTCGTCCGGACTGATGCCGATTTACAGTGCTAGCCCACTGAGATACCATGCCGCAGTTTAACATGAATACCCTACTCAGACACGGTACACTGACGTCCTTGCCTTAGCCCCTTAATGCCGAGCGCCAGACAGAATAACAAGTACCATCTTTTAACATCTTTTGGTATGACGTGCTAGGAATTGAATCACAGACCTTCCGCTCCTCGGGCCGACGCTCTATCCGATAAACATCAGTGGAGATCCCACGGGGAAAAAATGTTTCTAAAATTTAGAGTATGTTTCCATATATGGAGAACCAAATAACAGAAGATCCGTCTCAAATAGTGACACTGCATAGTTGTCGTGACCTTGCCTCTATCACACGCATATTTTAGACTTCAACGCGATCCAAATTAAAGTGACAACTCTGTGAAAGACACAGGTGTATAAAGTCTGCACAAATGTTTACTTTTTAAAACGACACTCCTTCGCATCTTCACACTTTAAATGAGAAGTAACGCACCCGCTTGTCGGTAGTATCAGCCAGACAGCCTTGTGGAACACTAGCTGTACTTCTCCTCCTCCAGGTATAGTTGCTGATGTTTCCATGCCGCTATGTGGCGAATCTTAACTTTTCTTGTCAATACCTCATCCTGGGCCCACTTGCACAAAGCGATCTTAGCGTTAAGACTATTGTAAGCCTATGCTAAAGTATGGGAGTTACGATCATCTTAGCGCTAAGATCGCTCTGTGCAAGTGGGCCCAGCATGGGTTGCTGAGGACCTATTCTAACCCGGAATGCCCATGAGAAGACCAGTATAGGTTGATGGAGACCTATTTAACCCGTAATCCCCACAGGGAGACCAGGGCCCACTTGCACAAAGCGATCTTAGCGTTAAGACTATTGTAAGCCTATGCTAAAGTATGGGAGTTACGATCATCTTAGCGCTAAGATCGCTCTGTGCAAGTGGGCCCAGCATTGGTTGCTGGGGACCTATTCTAACCCGGAATGCCCATGAGAAGACCAGTATAGGTTGATGGAGACCTATTTAACCCGGAATCCCCACAGGGAGACCAGGGCCCACTTGCACAAAGCGATCTTAGCGTTAAGACTATTGTAAGCCTATGTTAAAGTATGGGAGTTACGATCATCTTAGCGCTGTTACGGCCCACTTGCCCAGTCTAAGCGCCAATATTGCTTTGTGCAACACCAACGCTTGCCTGTTACTGTACCTATAGTTAATGACAAACCTCTCCAGCAGGTGATCTTTTGTTTGTTTGTTTGTTTGTTTGTTTGTTTGTTTCTTGTTTAACGCCGCACTCTGCAATATTCCTTCTATATGACGGCGGTCTGTAAATGATCGAGTCTGGACCAGACAATTAAGTAATTGACATCATGAGCATCGATCCACACAATTGGGATCGATGACATGCATCAACCAAGTCAGCGATCCTGACCACCCGATCCCGTTAGTCGTCTTTTACGGCAAGCATGGGTTGCTGAAGACCTATTCTACCCCGGATCTTCACGGGTCAGTTGGTAACTTAAAGGTAGGATAGTTTTATCTAACGAATCTCTAAATATCTCTCATCAACACATGAAGGGCAGAATATAGTAGGCGCTATCCCCCCCCCCCCCCCCCCCAACATCAGGTGCTCTATCAAGACCTGTTACCTTCTGTATCTACTGGGCGCTATCAAACTCCCCCAACACCAGGTGCGCTGTCCAGACCTGTTACTTTCTGTATCTACTGAGCGCTGTCAAACTCCCCAACACCAGGTGCGCTGTCCAGACCTGTTACCTTCTGTATCTACTAGGCGCTATCAACCCCCCCCCCCCCCCCCCCCCCCCCCAACACCAGGTGTACTGGGTGCTATGAATCTGTTCCATTTACTATAAATAATGTTCAAACTCAAACTCCATTTTATTAATTTTCAGAACCATGATAGTTTTCCTTGTTCTAATCGGATCTGTAGCAGTTTATGGGTGAGTGGTATAAGTTATAGAATATCAGATCAGATGCAGTTTATCTGCGTGTGGTATAAGCTATATCTCATATGAGATGCAGTTTATAGATGACTGGTATAAGCTAGCATATCAGATGCCGCTTGTAGGTGCGTGGTATATGTTGGGTTATCTGGTCAGATGCAGTTTATGGGTGGTATAAACTGGTATATCAGATCAGGTGCAGTTTATGGGTACATTGTCTGAACTAGTATTTCAGATAAGATGCAGTTTATGGGTAAGTGGTATAAACTAGTATATCAGATCAGGTGCAGTTTATGGGTACATTGTCTGAACTAGTATGTCAGATAAGATGCAGTTTATGGGTAAGTGGTATAAACTAGTATATCAGATCAGGTGCAGTTTATGGGTAAGTGGTATAAACTAGTATATCAGATCAGGTGCAGTTTATGGGTACATTGTCTGAACTAGTATGTCAGATAAGATGCAGTTTATGGGTAAGTGGTATAAGCTAGTATATCAGATCAGGTGCAGTTTATGTGTAAGTGGTATAAATAGAGAATCTCACCCGAGTGTCTTTTGATATCAAATATATCAACACGAGCTGATAAAAGTGGAAAAACTCCGAGGCTTGCCGAGGATATTTGCCACTTTTATCAACGAGTGTTGATATATTTGATATCAAAAGACACGAGGATGAGATTTTATTTATCATCCAACATCATTCTTTCAACTTTTTTAATTTGTAGACAGTAATTAGCAGTGTCTTCGGTATAAAAAGTACTGCAAACAGCTTCAGTAGCAGAGCCATTAGTGATGTCATTTGATTGTGACGTCATGGTAACCAGTGATGTCACAATGGTCTGCAAAGCATTATGATGTAATTTCATTGCAGCGATATCTAAAGTGTAGATATCGCTTGATTTCATCCAAGAGATATCTCCTGTGGGAGCCAGTTTTAGATGATAAACTAGTATATCAGATCAGGTGCAGTTTATTGGTAAGTGGTATAAAATAGTATATTAGATCAGGTGTAGTTTATGGGTACATTGTCTAAATCATTTATCAGATCAGGTGCAGTTTATGGATGGGTGGTATAAACTAGTATATCAGATCAGGTGCAGTTTATGGATACATTGTCTAAACTATTTATCAGATCAGGTGCAGTTTATGGATGGGTGGTATAAACTATTATATCAGATCAGGTGCAGTTTATGGGTACATTGTCTTAATTATTTATCAGATCAGGTGCAGTTTATGGGTACATTGTCTTAATTATTTATCAGATCAGGTGCAGTTTATGGATACATTGTCTTAATTATTTATCAGATCAGGTGCAGTTTATGGATGGGTGGTATAAACTAGTATATCAGATCAGATGCAGTTGGTTGTCCGCACCATTACCCGTTCGTGGGAAACGTCTGGGGCACGTTTGCATTCACATTTCCTCCAGCCCACTTAGAACTGGAATAATTTTGAAAGAAGCCCCAACTCATCGGGGGCTTCTCTGCCCGCAGAAAACACTACTCCTGCAACCACACCAACCATGACCAGCTGCTCCCGAGCCAGGTGATCAGCAACGTCATCGCCGACATTGACACAGATGGCGACGGCATTGTGGAGCCAACCGAGGTCCAGGCGGAGTTCGTCGCCAGATATGACGTTGACAGTAGGATAATCATTATGATAAGAATCGGTGCCCTGTAACCTATGCTTGTTGCAAGAGTCGACTGAAGTGTCGGTTGATTTGTTATTTTACGTCGCACTCGGCAATATTCCTGCTATATGACGGCGGTCTGTAAATAATCGAGCAGACAATCCAGTGATTGATATCATGAGCATCGATCCACACAATTTGGATGACCTGCATCAAGCAAGTCAGCAAGTCTGACCACCCGATCCCGATAGTCGCCTCTTACCGATTGAAGTTCATCGCGTGGTTAAGCTCGGTGCCATGGCCAATTTCGCGTCGTTGCTCAAGCTTTCTGTCATTGGTTTGCCTGAATATGAAATCCTTAAAGGGACGTAATCGCCCTTTGGTAATATAAAAAATATCATTCAAAGCGCGACAATGCAACAAATGGCCAAAATGTAGCGTTGTCGCATTGTCGCATTGTTGCGCTTTGGTTAATTTTGACACTTTTTCGCTTGTTTCCCTAAGGGCGACAATGCGACAATGTCCCTTCTTGGATTCCATACCTGACCCTCGATTACTTTCAGGCCATTTTGATACAGCTGGCATATTGGTAACAAATATAGTTTCCATCAACCATGTCTTACCTAAATCGTCATCAATTAGTCAATTTGACATCCTATTTCCTAGTAGGGGCAGTACCGTAAACCCTCGAATAACGGCAAGGGACCCAAGACTGTATTTTGCCAATGTTGATCGCAGTGTATAAAGTATAGTTTTGCTGCTTGCGTCAATGAGCTTTGGCATCATGATAGTTCAGGGCAAAACAATACTTTATTACACAACACATTGGGGTAGAGCAAACTTTATTACT